CCCCCCCCGGTTCTCCTTATGCAATATATCTGATCTTCAGCAAAAGGAAAGCTCACCTGACTTGCTGTGTGAGAAGTACATTGCAAATGAACCTAAAAATTCCCTTGCCTACACTGAGAGGGGGATGTTCTGTGTCGTTTGTAGTTAGTCGTCATTGCGTACGATGATGGGGATCCTGTGAAGTCCAACACCACGATGGTGGAAATTGCTGTGCTGCAGCCTTCCGTAATTCCACGCTTCACCCAGGATGAATACAGGTAAAGTGCTTAGGCATCCAAGTTACAACCGTTAGGTTTTAAACTGAAAAGACACCAGTTGGGTGGTGTATTTGGGTTATTAACGTGCTGTGCTATAAGTAAAGGTCTTAAATTATTGTTATGTTTGGATATCTTTTACATTGCAGTGTTTTTTTCCTGATGCAAGAGCCTAACAGTGTCTTATTTTCCCTAAATTTGGTTACTCCATCACCTTTTAGTTGCAGGCGTCTCCAGCTGCAGCCTCTTTCCCTTTGTCCCATGTGGGATGCAGGTCATTCCTGGGCTCCTAGAAGGGGCTGAGCTTCAACAATGACGACAGGTCTTGGGCATTTAAGATGAATGGGAGCCGACCAAAATGAAGTTTTCCAAACTGAATGTGGTTTGCTGAAAAAAAAAATGCCAAAGGCCGTTACCTTATATAGTTCCCTGTTTTCTGTTTTGAAAACTTGCTTGTATGGTGACCCAGAGTTCCAATTCGGGAAGAAATAATGTGAAATAGAGAATCGCAGGCTCTTGCTTGATGCAAATGTAGGGCAGCATCTCCCTATGCTCGTGGTAGGCGCAAGGCTCTGCGTCGTGGCTGCCTTCCCTGTGAAAGAGGGAGCTGGGGACACGGGGACCTTCCTCTCCGTTGCTTGATAAAAGAGGAGCCGCAATGGCTTCTGCTTAATTAAAGTTGTCAGCGCGGTAGGCGGCGATCGCCTGAGCAAATTGCTGTGTATCATGAGCAAAATTACGGAGGCGGATCAGCACTCAATGGGAAGGGTTATTCAAAGAGGCTTTTCTCGATCTGCTTTTGAGCCGAGCAGTTATTTTAATTGCAAAATGGGTTTATGGGGTGGCTGACACGTTGGCATTTAGGGTAGAGGAAGCTTTTCATCCGTGAAATCTCCCTAATTCGGGACCACCTGGAAATGGTGCCACTTAAATGTGCTTCCACTGCTAAACATGGTAAGTTTTTCATTAGGATGCTCATGATCTGTGTTTGTTGAAGTCTCTCTCCCTGTCAGTTTTCTTGCTTTCCTTCCCCATCCAGCTCAGAGGCACAACATGGTTGAGGTGGGAAGGGACTTTTGGAGAACATCTTGTCCAGCTCCTCTGCACAAGCAGGTCAGGTAGCAGCCAGGTCCAGCACATCTGGGTGCAAAACAACCACCCAACTACTTGCAAAATGAGCATGTAAGGTTGTAATTTCCTCCTTCCAAATTATTTCAGTTATTTTTTGTGATTTAGAGCATTTGACTGTGCAGTCATTTTCCCAGGATGATGAAGTCCATTGTATTCTCCTCCCATGTGTTTCGCCTGAGTGGATTTTTTTTTTTTTTTAATGAAAAATATCAAAATGGGTGAAGGAGTGCTGACAACATTTGTGACACAAATGTGCAYCTCCAAGGTATGGAACAGGGCACAGAAATAGTGACACCAGTGTCATGTGAAACTCCTGCCAACATTGGGGTATCCTCAGAGCTCCAAACTGCAGCATCATCCTTGGTATCTTCCTCATATTGGTCCACCTCATACATGAGAGTCCTATATTGAGCTTGAGCTCAATATAGCTGATGGGTTTTCCCAGTCTTCCCACCTCCTGCTTTTGTGATAATCCCGATCGAAACATTTCAGCCCATTTGGTTCCTGTGTCACTTGGACTCCTTGGAGAAGCTCCATGGTGCTGTTTGCAGCTGATCTTTTTCCAGGGAAATGCATGAATTCAAACTTCTTTTTAATGTTCTGCACAACTTCTTTTAATGCAAAGCATCAAGGGGAAAAAAGAAGGTGATGAGACCACTTCCTGCGAGGAGCAGGAGCTCATCAGTATATCTCCTAGCCAGAGGGAATAGCCTAAGGTGAAATGCCAGGGATGGTTAGAAGCAGCTGCAACCAAATAAAAATTTAAAGCAGTTAATGTTGGAGAAGCGATGATTTTGCAAGGCGAGGGCTTAAATAGTATTTTAYACAAGTTTAGCTAGAAAAATCTGAGTAATGTAATTAAAAAAATCCCCAGCTCCCCCTGAAAAATGAAGTTCTCATGGACCTCCATGACCTAAAGCATCAATAGAGTAGATGTGAGTGTGTAATACATACACATCACATTATTAAACCAATTTTCCAATTTATTATTGCTTTGCCTGATTTTAAATTTAATTTTTGATTAAATCTCAGGGTTCCTACTTTTGGTGATAGGAACATTTCACGGTGGATTTAAAGCGTATTGGATCGCACACAAATTGAAAACTGGATGAGAGGCTTAGTCTGCCTGGCACGAGGGGAAAAATATTAGGAAAAAGAGAAGAAGAAAGAGAGGGAAAGTTACCATTTCACTTTGATTAAAAATAGCTCTGCCCTACACAGTACTTGCTGCATGGTCTGTCTCCCTGTCCCGCTCTGATCACAAGAGGAATGATGCAGATATAGGAAACCAAAAGAAAACAGCCCTGTGCAATTTGCGCTCTCTTTTCAACACTTTATAGATGTTGACATTATTTTACCGCTCTCTTTTTTTCTCCTCATTTTTTTTTTGAGGACCAAAGATGTTTTGCAGCAGCAGCAGCAGCTTGTAATTCTTAAGCATGACACCATGAAATAGCTGCACCAGAGAGAGAGATACAGGCACCTCTTCAAGCTGCTCCTGGCTAAAGAGTAGGAGAGAGACAGGTTAAGCATTTAATCTAAATTTTAGAGCTCCTGGGTGCTGTTTTTAATAAAACTACTTTGTTTTGTCTCCAAATCTACCCACAATTAATCAGTAATGATGTACTAAATACCGAAAAGATTCGATCTCAATGCACCCATGGATTTGCAGATGGTTTCCTGGAGAGCATCTCAGCACAGTGAGCCGATAGTGAGATACCTGTGAGATGTTCCTAAGGAATTCTTGCTTTGCTACCTGACCATCGTTTGGATGATGATCCRAGGCAGATATTTATGAGTTCTCCACCGTGCGGGCGAGTGGGGATGGTGGAGGGGGTAACGCGGGTCCTTGTGGTTGGTTCCGCAGGCCACCGCCAGTGAGCGAGAGCGCGCCCAGGGGCACCGTGGTCGCCGTGGTCCTCGCGGCCGCCCTCAACCAGACTGTCGTCTACTCCATCGTCTCGGGAAACGAAGAGGGTGAGTAGCAGCGTCATGGGCTGGCCGGGTGTTGAGAAGAACCGACGGGAAGTGAAGCTTCGGAGATGAAATCACTCCTCATCATGTCCAGGGGATGAGGACTTCGTGCTGGCTGTCACCAAGCCTTTGGAGATGGACTCCTTGCAAAGCCATGTGGAGTGCAGGGAGAGGGGAGGCTCTGCTCCTCGGAAAGGGGCAGCGATTCCCACAGCTGTGCTGTCTTTGGGGAAAACTTTGTGTCTGCAAAGTGGCACCCACATGTTGGTTGTTATTAAGGTCCTACTTGTTCTCTCCATCAAGATGGACCATGCACACTGAGTGAGTTTTAGGAACAGTGTGACCAGCTCGTGCCTGCCTTGCAGAGGAACAATTTCAAGGCAAGATGCTGTGGCTTGAGTTATTGCAAGAAAAACTGAGTTATTTTAAAGGAAATTGATTCCTTCTGTTGCCGRTCATTCTTAGGACCTAGCTGAATTCAGACTTAGCTTGGACTCAGCTGTTGGGTTCATTGGAAGACAACATCAAAGAGTGTCAGCTCTTTTGCGTTAAAAAGGAAAAAAAAAAGTGGAAAAAATGTGGATCGTGGAGAGTTACTCTTGGTTTTGCTGGATTACAGATGTGTTTGCTATAAACAACCAGACGGGAGTGATCTCAGTTAAGAAGCCTCTGGACTATGAAAGGGTGAAGAGCTACGAGCTACGAGTTCAAGCAGACTCCTTGCAGGTGGTCCGGTCCAATCTGCGTGTCCCTTCCAAAAGTAAGTTTTAAAAGCAGGAATAATCTTGTGGAGGGAAAAAGTAATATTGCAAAAATAGTTTTGCGATAYCTCCAGGCAAAGAAGTTTATTTACTGATCCTTTTATTTTGGTCCTGGCTCATTTTAAGGGATTTCTTCCTCCCCCTAAAAAGTGTTTTCCTTCTAATAAAATCTAGCCTTTKCGTTGGGAAGCGTTCTTGCTGATTTTTGTCATGCTGACTGTAATAAAAAGAAATGTAGGCACTCAGGTCTTCTCTGGGTTGCTGAAAGGAAGGTAGTTTAATATTACAGGTTTTTGCACAGCTTATGTTCCTGCCTTGATTTTTCTCCTGTATATTTGCTGTGCATTTCTCTCTCTCTTTTTTAATGACTGTTATTCTTTTTCCCTGATTTTAATAAGTCATATGGTCACATATTGACTTAAAGCAGTTGAAGGAGTTCTTTAAATTTATTGAATAGAAACCTCATAAATTTAAAATTTAAAAAAAAAAAAAAAAAAAAAAAAAAAAGACCCTGAAATAAGGCCATAGGTTTAGGTCTGCTTCTGCTAATGGGCTCGAGATTTCCAAAGCAGTGATTTAATGGGCAATAGCCCTTAGTGCCAATGCTCCTCTTTGCTGATAAGCAGAAAGAGATGGCATTAATTGAAATTCCCTGGTGCAAATACCAGCTCCCTAGAGAATTCGCATTTGTGGTTTTACCACGGTCCTGAATATGCCTTTTCCTGCCTCCACATACAGACAAGTCTTGCAGAAACATGTTCACTTGCATAATTTTCTCCCCTTCTCACAAACCTTAGGTGGAAACAACATCATCTTTATTTTTTAAGGTCTAACATATATACTTTGAATAGGCGCTGTAAGAGAAAAATGGCATCTAGCTAAGCCTGCAACAATAAATGATTTATCTCCCTATAGTGGGTATCTCTTGACCTCCAGGTATAGTTCCTTTATTTGATATATGCCTTTCTGTTTTCTCCTCTCCTTTTCCTTCCTTAATGAGCTTTAATGAAACTTCTTGCAAGGATATAAAAAGGGAAATCACAGACACATGTGAAATGCGCCATATTCTGCAAAGCGGAGGTGTTGCCTTGCAGTGGGKCACATAGTGATGCATCTTTCTTGCTTTTCTTCTCCCAGCCAGTRCTTCAGAAGGGGTATTTTTGGTAGCTCTTACATCTTTTTGGATTGAGAGCACATTTGACAGGGAAATCCTCTTGCACTTTATCTCTCTTTCCATCAGATGTGCTAGATACTGCACTGGCTTCCAGTGGAAGGGTCGTTTCTCCTGTCAGATGGCCRCTGCTTTGGGTGTTGGAGAGCAGAAGGGCACCGATTCTCTACTTGCTGTTGGCTCAGCCAAGCATTGCCCGGCATGTCACTCCTTGGAGCCCCATATGTCCCCATACACCATTCTTGGTTGGCCTTCAAGTTTTTTTTTTTTTTAAAAAAGCACAATCTGCTATTCCCTCCGGCAGAGTTAATGTTCACTGCTTGTTTAACAAGTTGAGCTTTTCTGTTAAAACCACTGGTGTATGAAGAGCAGCTGTAGTAATGGCTGTTTTGCTGCAAGATGAGAGCGGTGTTGCTGGGAAAGATGGCTTGGAAAGTGATTCGGGGACCACGCGAATCAAGATGTACCAGCCAGCTTGAAGACTAGCTTGTAATGCAGCCAGGAACAGCTTGAGCTCAAGGTTTCCAGTGCATGGAGGAGCGGCAGGGTTAGCATAAACCACATTCATTAGCATCACTGTTTATCTAAAACAGCAGCACCAGAGAATGCAAGCTGTCTCCTAGCCTGTTTGTGRTGAAGTTGTAGAAAAATCAGCACAYGCTAACACCGACTTGAGCTTTTTTGGCGTGTTTTCAACTTGGTCTTGGTTATTCATGGTCAGGAGTTTCCCTGTTTCAAAGGATCTTTGGGTTTCCCRTAGAACAGTTTGCTGGTTGTTCCCACTCAACTTGAGCCAGCCTTGGAAGTTGGAAGATGTCAACGTTTTGTCCTCCAGTCCTGGGRGATAGCGCTACCCTGCAGCCCTGTGTCCAGGTCCTTGTTGTCCTGGGCCAGTCCTTGCCAGAGAAATTCACCTGGACATCTATTTAGGTAGCTGGGGGGGGTAATTAAGAATTACATTTATGTATTATATATGTATATGTATTGTATAACCACACAAGACTTCAGTGCCTGCTGYTTCTATACAACACAAGTTGAGATGAAGAGATACATTTAGTTTAATGCCAGTGGTCCTACTATTAGCATTGTATATGCATAAATAAAAATCCATAGCTTGCTTTGCATTTAGTGCAAATTCTCCAAGCAAAGGAGCATTTTGGCAGCTGCCAGCGAGTGCAACAAATGCCAGGGAGCAAATTGCAAAGCAAACTGGGAGCGAGGCGAAGCCGCCTCCGCCAGACCTGCCTGCAGCAGTGCCGGCTGCACAGGCGACGCAGAAGGAGTTTGATTCATTTTATGGACAGGGAGCATGGTGCCCAACACGATGCGATCGAGGTGTTCCCTGCATTTAGTGCTGCAGCCACAACCACGGGTGCAATAGGAGCAAGAACAGACTATTCGCACACACTCATAATACGTAACATAAAAATTAACATCTTTTCTGTGTTAAATAATGAAGTCAAGGAATGAAGTTCTCTTTGAAAATGCACATCAAGTAGCTTGAAGAGAAGACTGTAGAAAATTCTAGCTGCTTTTCCTATGTATAAAAGTAATTTTCTTCTATAATTTTTCAGATTGTTTCGCTTACCCGCAGAGATTAGTGCAAATAATTGATTATTCTTCTGACAAAATGCCTTTTCCCCTTCTTTTCTTTCTCCTTTTTTTGTTTCTTCTGCTGATATGTTTTAAATGCACCATGTTTTGAACTTTTTTTCTTATCTTCAAACTGTGATATTTTAAAGTTTTTTCCCCATTATTATTAGGAGACCCTCATGGRCTTCCCTTGAGCAGGACCACCAGGTAGACAGGATGTTCCCAGTGACTCTGGCAAGTCCAAGAAATAGTCAGGGCTCCTATTTGGCTTTAGGATGTGCTGAACCTCGAAGACGTGTGAAACAAAAGCTCGCAGGTCCTAGCAAGCTGAGTTTGTGCTCGAGGAGGGCTTAGTAATGAGCTCAGTTAACACCATGAATTAATTTTTACCKCAACATTAAATCAAGGTTCAATCAATAAGCATATATTGAAAAAAAATACCCAGAATCTCTTGGTTGATGTCAAGCTCATATTTTCCTCAGCGGCTGTTGCCATGATTTTGAAGATACTTGTTTTTATGGTGTTACAAATACCCTTACTTTAAGTGGAACATTATTTCTCTGTTTCAGGTAATACAGCCAAGGTGTTCATTGAGGTGCAGGATGAGAATGACCACGCCCCTGTCTTTACCAAAAAACTCTACATTGGAGGAGTATCGGAAGATGCGAAAATGTTTTCTTCTGTGCTTAAAGTTAAGGTGAGCCTGAAGTTTTTGGAAATGGCCTTCAGTAGCCTTGGAAATACCTTTGCTGGGGCATCATTTCACGGGAGCGCAGCRTGGCATTGACATCTTTAATTTACATTTGGTTTCTTTTTTGTGAACCTTCAATTCGTTGGCTGTTTTTCCTCGACAGCAGCCTCTCTGTGCTTTGCATAGCAAATGACAGTTTTTGCTTCAGGGAAGCAATTTCAGGTCTCTGTGCAAGCTGTCGTAATTTGTGACTGAAGTGAGCTGCCTATTATTTTTAAAGAAAGGAAAAAAATGAATTCAATGTAAAATAATATATACATATAGTTAGCATCATATGTAGGCATGGAATCGGCATCAGAGAAAATAAGAGTTGCAATAAAAGCTGTCAGGCTAGATAGTCCTTCCTAAAATAAGGCAAGAGACATTAGAAAGATGGGCAATAAGCTCACATTGGCTACTGTATGGAAACTACTATAGCTCATGTTTGCTTAGCTTGTGAGCAAATCCAGCATATTTTGCCTTTTATTTAATTTGTTTCTGCTCTGTTTATTATTTATCTCTCTATTATTTTTATCTGTAAATGGCATATTCTGCCTGAAAACCTGAAAGTCAAAGACTGCTCTCAGTAGGAGCTTCATAGTGGATGATTTGTACAGTCAGGTCCCAGCAAAGGCATTTATCATGATGTCCATGCTGTAGCACTGGCTGTCAAGGTTTGGTTCTCCAAGTGGGAAGGGATGCTTGAGAGATTGAGTGGGAGAGGGGATAAATCCAAGTCTTCAAGAGGAGGGCGTTCTAAAAGAGTAAAGAAGACAAATCCTATTGACTTCAAAGGAAATAAGGACAAAATAGCACTTTTATCACAGAAAAGTTACAGATCTATCTACTTTGATATGAGAAGAAGACAACTCATGTTAAGTGTGATATAYTTCTCAAGACTTGTGCATCCTCAGCTGGGTAACTTTCACATACTATAAAGACAGAATGGAGAAAAAGACCGTGGAAGGAAATCTTAAAGTGACCAGTCTTGAAAATGAAGAAATTTCATGTTTGGTGAACTCCTGGATTGAGTTTCTTGAGTAAAAATTACAACTTAGGACCAAGTTCTTCTTTTTTCAAAGCAACCAACTTGTCCAAGTATTGAAAGCAGCAGCAAGGAGGTGAACCATTTGGCACTCTGCTATTTAATTATGTTCATAGAGTAGTCAAAAGGTAAAGAACTTCCTGAAGAAAAAGATTTTAGATATAACTTAAGCTGTGAGCAATGTTGCTTTTATCACAAAAAAAAATCTATGTTGATCCGATGATATTTGATCTGCCTTGAAAAAGGGAACCATCCAGCTTTGTTTTCTGAGAGCTGCTGCCGAACTCCGTAAGTTTTCCTTTAATCTCTGTAAAAGCAATGGCTTTTCATCATGTTGGCTCTCTGTACTTATTTGCCTGTTGTGTTTTGTACAAAGTAGTAATTTCCTCAAGGGGCAACGGATGGCGAGTTCAGCGTCCATGCGTTATGAAATAGCAAAGCCGCCACGTTCCTCTGGGAAGTCATCTGCAGCGGGGATGTTGGATGCTTTGCCAAGCACTGGGTTCACCTCACGAGGACGAACAACCAACTGGTCATGGTGTAAGAGGCGCTTCGATGAGGGTGATGATGGAGGCTTACATTTTCCCTGGCGTAGAGCTGAACCTCGGCTCCAAAATGCTCTACATTAGGAAGTTATAAAATCTAAATGTGGATATCTAAGTATTAATAAGTAAATGATGAGATATTTACACAACATAAAGAAGGGAGAAGCCGTAAATCACTGGAGACACAATGAAAAATGTGAACACGGTCCATGACCTTGTGGCCTGGAAAGTCAGTCAGAATGAGTGAAATTGGTTGCACTGTCACTGGAAAGGATTTGGGGAGCCAACTGAGTCCCAGGAACACAGAGTGCCAAGCGTGTGGGAAAAGTGGGAAGGGAATGATTGAGAGAGCAGCAAAGTGAAGTTGGAAAGCGGAGGAGGCCTTCTGCAAAGGAGCCAGACTCTGGGAATATCTTGATTTCTTACATACACTTACTGGAAGAAAACACATTTTTTGATCAATTCTTCTGTAAACAATCCCACATGATATTCTTTCCTTCTTCCTTCTCTTGTCTGTTGTCTTACTGGCCTTTGCAGAATGCATTATGTTTATTTTTCTCCATCAGCCTGCTCTTTTCCCCCAAAGTCTCTCAAAGACGCTCAAGGAATGAAGGAGATCTCTAGAGTCCAGTGAYTGGATGCAAGACCACAGGGTCTAAGCAAAAGAGGTTTTTAAGTCTCTTTCTGGGAATTTCTGAAGGAGAATTTGTGCTGGACTGCAGCACTGCTAAGGAATCCTAAAAAATAATATTTCCGTACTAACAGTGTAGTCCTAGTTTCCTGAAGAATACATGGGATTGGAGCAAAGACAGAGGAATGGGGAGAGAAAATATATTATCKTTAGGGAAATGACTAGAGGAAATTCTCTTTTCACTCCAGTGGTGATGTTAGCCCTTTCATTTTAAATATTTGCTTTTCCAGTATAAACCTCGCTACTGTTGTTGAAGTGCATTTAAGTGATAAAATAATAGAGGTCAGAGTTCTAAAAAAGCAGTTGAGGTGCTTTTTCCCCGTGCTCTGGATGTTTCCTTACCTTCCGAGGTATATTTGCACTGAAAATGTTTGCAGAAAAGGAAGGCAGCCCCAGAATGAATCCTGTGAATCCAGGTCCCTCACAGTCACTCACTGAATTTGATAAAACTGGGTTGACTATGAAGGCAGCTGAGGTTGATGGCAATAGAAACAGCAGTGTCTGTAATGCAGTTATATATCCTAAAGGAAACCTGATTGTAGCGGTTGATCAAATTTTCCCTTTGGACCTTTTCTTATATGTTTTGTGCCTCATCCTGATGGGCTTCCTAATGAAACCGTTTCCTTTCTTAGTCTTTGAACCTCTTAATAGTTGCTGACAAAATAAAGCAGCCCTTTTATGCTACAGCTTCTTTTCCCCAGTGGCGCTTAGAAAAACACATATTACTCTTTACTTAAGCATAAGCCTCGTCAGGAATTTATCAGAGTTATTGCACAATATACTGATACACTGCAATTTATAAAACCAGACTGTAAAATTGCTGGGTATGGATATGTAAAACATATGTCCAGGAAGAATTCTGGGATTATTATTCTGCCCAGGCACCTATATCTGCAGTAAGCCTGCAGTTATCTTCCCCTCATGTCAGTAACCTCTGGATTTTTTTTTTTGGCATTCCAGTTTTATTCCTTGGGATGATAAACAAACAGTGGAGCAACAGATTGGGAAGAAGCAGCAATGAGACTGGTGTCCAGGAGCACTTTTTTCCTGCAAAGCACAAGATTTCTCTTTGCTATTCCTGCTCTTGCACATGCACAGGAGGACTTGCCTCCTTGCACAGTGGAGCTGCTTTGCCAGTTGCTGTTTTCTGTTCGTTAAAAGATGATTTATGGATCACAGGGAATAATCTTTAGGGGGAAATCACTCGTGGGTAGAGGTAAACACCCACTTTAAAGCATACTCGTGACAGCGGCGTTCCGTCGAACRTGCACATCTGCTGTAACATCTGGCCTCTGTCAGGAAGCTGCTCACCCCGCTAAGAGGAGTATTRCGAAATTTCAAGCACACAGGTAGTATCTTTCCAAGAACTTATCTGTAGATGGTATCTTGGCTCACTGAACTTTTTGCTGGAAAAGGCAGGGCTTTTTGCACAGATCTTTGTTGGTTGTGTCTCAGAGAGAAGCTGCATAGAGTATTGTTTGGAATAAGGTAGCATAGGTGCCAGGTGGCCACCCAGCACTTAATCTCTGACCTGGAGCCACTTGAAGGCAAGGCCRTGGGGCAACAACTCTCAATAGGATTCAGAAAATTTCCTGGGGGGCTGACGGGTCTGATGGTGGCTTGTTTGGGAGGAGCATGAAAAACATCACACAAGACATATCTGCTCTTGAATTTCGCTCATGCTAAACCATGACTACTGCTGCATTTAGCTTGTGCTGATTTTGATGAAACCTGGTTATGTGAGCGAAGTTCAAACTAGCTGTTTAAATTTAAACCCAATGGTTAATTGTAAATATTTCCCATATAAAACAGGCACGGGCATCTTTGATTTTCTCTTTTCTTCCTAACTCAGTGACATGAGAACAGATGGGTAATTCGGCTCTTTCCAAGCAGTTGTTGGTGCCTAAAAGGAGGGAATTGCAGATGGCTGCAGATTGTTTGCTGTTGAAGACACATCTGCCYTGTGTTTTTTCCATCTCTAGAACCTCATGGCAATTCGGCTTTATTTTTGCAACAGGCCTCCCCCAAAATCTCTGTCTAGGTGTCTTCTAGTGTCCTGTGCTCCACAGAGACCTCAACATCAGCCTTGACCTCCTTCAAGACTCTGGTTCTGCAAAGCTCTTTGACTCTGAGATATGTTGCCTGGATTTGGCCCAGTACCTCTTAAAATCATAAATATTTATCAGTGCTCAATCATAAGAGGATTTAGGAGACAGCCGCCTGTGTATTTCTTGCACGCAACAAAAGCAAGATAAACTGCAGCAAGATGAAGTATCAGTGAAGATGAAGATGAAGTAGAACTCTTTCTCATCTTTGACATACATAACCCAGGTTTTGAGATGTCGTCTATCTCTTCCTAATGAAATGTCAAAATTATTTACCTTCAGTGCAAATGGCAGGAATAGCAAACACCCATAGCCCCAGGCTGAAGGAGGTTGATGCCTTGTGTCAGCAGCTCGCAGGCTGTTTCTGGTGACCCAGCCGATGCAAATGTGGCCACGTAGTGTTGGATGTCAGTGCAAGCAGTAACCAAAAATGGGAGAGGGGAGCCCAGCAAAGTTAAAATATGTAGAATTGGTCCCTGATAAATTGCCCATGTTTTGCTTTTGCTGCCTCTCTTTGCCCACATGGGTGCAGATGGTTTTTGACATAAGAAGGGCCTGAATTCTAGCTCTGCAGAGGGCATTCCTCTCTCTGGAGGACCAGTGAACTTCTGAAAATTAACTTATAATCCCATTTCACTGAAATTTCATTCATTAAGTTCAGCTGTGAGGCATGTCCTGTGATTCCTGCTAAGCAATTAGAGTAGCGCTGTGACATTTGTTTCAAAAAGGCTGAAGTTATTTCATGTCTTGTGTTGTATGCGTGTTCCTCCTTGCTCTTCCAATTTGGGCAGTTCAGGTCTGCAGTGTCACCCTAAATTGGAACTATTTGGGGGCAGGGTGGGCGGGAAAGGGCCGGAGAGCACGTCCTTTGGAGCACAAACCACCAAATTGGACATTTCTGTTGTCATTAAGACCAGTTGTTACTAAAAATCGTATCTTTCTGGCAAGGTGGTCTTTTCTGGCATGGAAAAAAAAAACCCATCAGGCTTACGGCCTGACTGAACCAATCCAATAACTACCCCTTAGCAAATCCTATATCATCAGGGCTGAAAACCAAATAGGCTTTCTGTTTTTTATTTCTGTTTTTTCTAGCTCTCCTTTTTTCAATAAATTAAGGATGTAAAGCTTCCTGGGCAGTCCTTGCCAAAATTGACCCCAATAGTATCAAGCAAAGCCATTCCAAAACTTCTTCAAGCTTCTTCATTCCAAGCTTCTTCAAGCTGCAGTTTACCTGTCTTCATGGATATTTTATTTCTCTTGTCACTCAGAGCTTAAATGTTTCATTAAGGATAGGTAATTGCATTACTCCTCTTAGCTGGCATTTTAAGATCTCTTGTATCTTCAGTGGAAGCAACTGGAGTGAAATATTCGATATTTCTGTGCGAATATTGAGGAACAAAATTTGGGAATAAGTGCCTCACTGCCTTTTCCCAGGAATCATCTGAAAATGGAGATAAAAGAGGAGTTAGTTAAAACTTCCAGCCTCTATGTCTTGTTCTGACATCAAGAAGGCAATTATTGGTGATTAAGAGCCACCCCTAGCAAAGGGCCTTGCACATGTGATGCTACCCACCTCAGCAACTCGTGATGTTGCCACAAGATCAGACATTTCTTGTTTGAAATCCAGGATGAATTATGAATTCTATACAAGGACCTGAACCTTTTTGATGATGTTTCTTCTCCCTCTTCTCCTCCCCCACCCCGTAACATGAGCTGAAGCCACAGCCTAAAGATGGCCCTTGAATAACTTGATCAAAGCCCACTTAATGGATAAYGCAAGTAGGTGCCCCATGGAATGGGCAACGCTCTAGGTGGTAACTGATGTGAGAGTGCAGGGACATGTGTCCTGTGTCCATCCACCAGATCTGTGATACTGCTGTAAATTAAACCTCTTCAATCACTGAGCACAGGGAATGGCTATAAAGGGAGGGAAGATGCTCTTGTTGAGGATTTGAACYATTTTTATCCATTTAATTAGCTACGGGCCTGTAAACTGCATTTGTATTTTCCCGTTTTTCTCCCCTCCACATCTTTTTGGAGCAGTTTAATGCTAACAGCAGAGAAAGAAATTKCTGGGAAGCAAAACCTGCGTGCAGCAAAGTTAAGTCAAATGAACCATTTTAACTAATTGCRGTATCTGCTTTCCAGGATGGGTTGTTCCAGACCCCAGGTGGAAGAGCTTCACTGGACCAATGTGCACCCATATCTAAAGGACAAGGTTAATGATTCTTGCCATGCATGTTGACTCAGTTTGCTTGTGCTTGTTTTCTCTTCCCTATTAGGCTGATGATAAAGACACTGGGAATTACAGTGCTATGCAATACAGACTCATCATTCCTCCAATCAAGGACGGTAAAGAAGGTTTTGTGATAGAAGCTTATACAGGGCTAATAAAAACTGCTATGCTGTTCAAAAATATGAGAAGATCCTATTTCAAGTTTCAGGTCATTGCAACCGACAATTATGGGAAAGGACTGAGCAGCAAAGCGGATGTGCTTGTAAGTATGAACTGAGGCTTTATGCTTTTGGAGTAATTCTGAGGGATATTTGGACACTGAATAAAGTTTCCTTCCAAGGAGACATGTAGAACAGCCATAAACCATGAGTGTTTGATCTTTTGGAAGACCTGAAAAATAACATTCATCTTTGGGGAGACAGATTCGACCTGATCTGAGTTGCCACTCTAGATGCGACGTTCAGTATTTTCTTCACTCAATAAAGTGTCACTAATGGTTCAAATCAGGTTCTTTTTTTTTTTTTTTTTTTTTTTTTTGCATTAAACGTTGCATAAATTATGGCCTGGCTGTTCTTGACCAGCTGGCAGCAAAAGCATGTGCTCTTCTTGTGTGACATGAGTACAAAGCAGATCACGTCTGCAACCCATTTCAGCTTTACTCAGTCTGCTTTTGAACTCTCATATCAAAAAGTGAAGTGGGGTTAGCCTTGGGGTTAGCAGCAAGCATCAATAACTGGAACTGAAAACTGACTACCTTGGGCTCTGCTCCTTGTCTGCATTCTTCCTCATGGATCTACTCTGGTTCTACAGTTTTTAGGGGTTTACGAGCAGCTGATCTGGGAGGTCAGAATTCAGGCTTAGGGAAAGCCAGTGCTGCAGTGGTTTGCACCTGACACAGGAGAAACAAGGAGGAAACCTGTGATTGAGATGGTAATTCATGTTCTCAGAGAAGAMGGTTTCCATATATGACACCAACATGAGCTCCATTTTTGTTCTGAGAACAGAACATGGACTTCCAAGGTCATATAGCTTGATGGACTGAATTAATATTAGCGTGATATTATAGTGATGGAGCACCTTATCGTATTCATGTGAATTCTCAATGATAAACATAATAGTTGCTATGTTGAGTTATGCAGGAATTCAGCAAGTCAATGTTATCCATGATGCTTGACCTCCCCAAGCCTTAGGCCATTCTCCTGCCATTTATGCTGTRGTATAGTAATAAAAGGTAGACAGAAGTTGTCAGCATTAAAATTAGAGTGTGCAAGCATGTCTCATTAATTTTCAGAGGCATACGGAGGTTGTCTTAATGACTCATAGGCACTGACAATTTGYTGAGCAAGGCCTGAAACTCCAGAGTAGCTGCAGATGCGATGGTGCCATCCCAATGGGAGGGCTTGGGTTAGCRTTGAGCGCGCATGGAAGATCACCTCTTTCCCAAAAAATGGGAAGCACTAATTTTAGTAACGGAAAAGGGAAAGAAAACATTGCAGACATGCGCACGAGCAAGTTGATGTTCCTATGGAAACCACTCCTGGTCTCTTAATTTTGCTCCCTTATGCAGTACTCAATAAATAAGAGCACAGCGAATTGCTTGAGTTGTTCAGTGCAGTTAATTCTATTAAGCTGGTCATTGCTCTCAAGATCCTCGTAATGAGCATGATCTAAAATGTATTTCCAGTTCCTTGCCGTTCTGCTTCTCCTGCCTGTGTGCGCAGATCAGCACAGCTGGTGACATTTCAAAAACATTGGCGTAATTTGGAATAGAATTAAGCTTCAGAAACTTCAGAAAGAGTGTTTGCTGTGCACGGATGTTACAGCCCATTGGCTCGAGTGCTTACTGGGCTCCAGCTTCTCCTTTGAAAATCAAGGGGTGTTTTTTTGGCCTTTTGGGGTTTCTTGTTTGTTTTTGTTTTTTTTGAATTGAGTACTTTTTAAATTTTAATGGGCTTAACCTTACTCACTTTTTCCAAATTTGGGTGCTCTGGGCATAMTGGTTGATCCAACGCCTATATGAACGTACCCGAGAAAAGTTTTGTTTTCCCCTTCAAACTGGATTGCTACCGGGTGCTTTTCTCCCTGAAGAGGATGCTAGGAGCTCACAAGGAGAAAAAATGAAGAAAGAAAAAATAAATAACGCAGGGAAAAAAGTTCACAGCAAGAGCAATTTCAAAGAGCATTTTCTTGGGGTGAGGCTAAAAAGAGGAGACTAAAGATGTGAAGCTGAGTTTGCCAACTCCTATTTAATTTGATGCGATCTTCGGTGCATGTGGCAACTGGGAATGGGAGAAATCACTTGGCTTTTTTCTCTGTAAAATGCTAAACCGGGACRCTCGCTCAGAGGTTGAGCCCTTGTGTGCCGGGATCTCTGGATTTCACCTGCTGCCACTAATTTTGAACCCTACAAGTGTTGGGAACATTAAAGGGGCCCCTTTATGGCCAATATTTTAAAAGAAAAGATCTCAAACCCCAAAACACGTGGTTTTATGTGCTGTAGAGGAGAGGAAGCTCATAAGCAGAATTGCAGACTCAAGTTGTACTGACCATTTCCTTTAAAATTGCTAATTAATACATATATTTTTAAAATTTGCTGACRAATTATCATTACATTAATCTAGTATTTGCATTAGCACAAATGGCATGTTTCCAAGGCTAGATAATTTTTTTTTCCCTTGCAAAAATAAACCACTAATGAGCAATGAACTCTGTTAACCAGTAGTAAAAATGTAATTTGGATGTCGCCCTGCAATTACAGGTCTCGTTAAATCCACTCCTCCTCAGGGTCGCTCCAGGGCAGGGGGACGCTCTGCCCTGAAGCACCTGTTGAACTTTGCTCTTCTGTTTCTAGGTCTCGGTGGTCAACCAGTTGGACATGCAGGTCATCGTCTCTAATGTGCCCCCCACCCTCGTGGAGCAAAACAAAGATCAACTGATTGGGTAATAAATTTATTTACTCTACCACTCRGGAAACGTGCTGCTCCGGGTTTGGATTCAGCAAGGACATGCTGCAACCTGGGATTATTTTTCATTCTTTTGTGAGAAAGAGCAAGAAAATATTTTTATGGAAGGCAAAACTAGGTGGCCCCAGGACTTTTGCAATTAAAGTGAGGTGTTTTATCTTACTATAATCCAGCTAAAATGCTTTTATTACGGTGTGTTTTGATGTTTTCACATGCCCCACCACCARTTTCTGCCAAGTGGAGTTAGGTTTTCGTTCCAAGTTTCTTTTTGGAAGGCAAGGGTAGATTGTGGTACTTTGTGTGGCAAATTAGGCAATATATTTCATTACCCTCTTCAGATTCTTTGCATTTAAAAGTCTGTGTGCCCATAATTGTCCCTAGAAAGTGGCCCCAACCTTTAAGAAATGTCAAAGTCTGATGGTGCACCTGGGAAAGGCCTGCTCGGGAGCCTGGGTTCTCTGTTTGATTAACAGTCCAAATAAAGACAAGAGCCTCTAGAAGAAAAGCTTGGAGATGCCTCCATCTGCTTTGCTTTGGCAGTGGGGTTTTTTGAAAGGGAATATGGGTGCCCTGAGCTGACCTGTCTGATGGTGCCATGATGCTCTCAAGGTGCTTGATCAGCGCCTTGATCTTCCTCCAGCTCTGTTAATTCTGCCAGGGCAGAAAAAATGGCAGCAAGTCTTGGTGGAGAATGAAGGTTTCCTACAGAAAGCTGCTCTTGGTGAAGGCCCCCCAGCCCCATATTGGGTCTGTGTTCTTGAGATGTGGCCCTTTTGGCAGGTGAGCTGCTGAGGTGGGTGAGGATGAGGCATTAACCTGTGCTCGGGCACAGAGCTCTGGAGCTGCTGGGGACCAGTATCATCCGCTTGCTTTGAGAGGTTATAAATGGGCATTTTCCACATGGTCATACACATAGATCACATGTACACACCAGTAGTGATTCCCTTTTCCCATATTTTGACTTTGTTAAAGATGTTTGCCCTTAATGGAAGTTGTTCCCTTGCTTTTCAAGGCAGAGTTAATGGAAGTGGTTCGTGTGATAGCAGCTTCCACGTTCATTTGGCATCCGCAGGCTTTAGGCCTTGAGCCAGGGCCTGCAAACAAACAGAGCAACCCTGTGTGTTTTTATGGGAATGAAATAACTAGGTATTAAGGAGCTTTTGTTGCATCTTGGAAAAATCCATATRGAATCAGACAAAAATGAGAGTATTTACTTTGCTTAAAAAATAAAATCAAACTTGAAGAATCTGGATTGAGGTATCCCAGCAAAACTCCACACTCTGTCCTCTACATTGCTGCTAAATAAGCTTGCATTTTCCAATAACTGGAATTTAAACTTCTCATTATTATTGCAAAATTGCTTTAGGGAGCTGCAGTTTTCAATGGAGGAGCCCCAAGTTGCACAGGGTACCAGGTCTTCAAAGCTTGAGGTATACATAGTTATTTCCACATCCTGAAAGAAGCAGCAGCTTATTTTCTCTTAAACTATTCTTATGTGCTCCRGAAACTTTGGAAACGCGTTGGAGAACTCCCGAAACACCTCACTCGTGTGGATATCCATACTGGTTCCCTCCAAGCACTTCCAAGGATGGAAAATAAATTCCCTTCTGCATTGGCAGGGTGTTTTTACAGCCACGTTATCCCCTCGGTGACAGTGAAAATGCTCCCGTCCTTCATTTCCCTTGGCATCACTGCTTGGGATTTGGAAAGCGGCAGCAACGGGGATGCCCTGGGAGGAAGCTCTGTTCATTATGTCACCTCTGCAACCCTTAGCAGAGTCAAAGCAGTGGGTACAGCTCCTAACCCACTGAGACAGCAGGTCAGCCTCCCACTACCCGGCACTGGGAAAGTGGGAGGTTGCAATCAGTTGCACTGATTGCATTAAAAAAACAGCAGGTGAATTTTAAGTCAACTTAACAGTAGCTACCTGTTACTTTTCAGTGCACTTTTTAAAATTACATTTCATTTCCAGCCTGCTATAAATTTCTTCATCCCGTGTATACAGTTTGTATGTGTTGGGTGAAATATTAAGGCCRTTCCACCTTCCTTCATTACATTCATTGCAAAGCTAATGAATGTAACCAGGGGCTTGCTGCATTTCTCATAGACACACACTAGTCTGTTGTTTATTCTTAGGTTTTCATGATATTTCAGCCAAAAATCTGGTCCACAGCAGTGACTTCCAGCAGCTGCCATGCCCTGGATCTCTGAGCAAGCACTGCCTTGCTGTGGAAATCACACGGTGGTGGAGGTTGATATCTACTRGTGGTGGGTGGTTGATATCAGATATCTACTGAGCTTTGTGTTTTCCTTCTGGTTCTATCTGTTCTTGCCTGCGTTTGGCCCCCCGTCCATCGCTGCGGCCACCCCAGCTGCAATCTCGATGAGAAGAGCAGTTCTCCCTGGTGCTCACAGGTTTTTAAGCCCATAGGGTCGAGCTGCAAGACTTCTGATGCCTCTAAAATCCTTCTGCTTGTATAACTTGTGCAATTTATTTTTTCCCCCCTGGAGTAATTCTCTTGGCTCAATATTCCAACTTCCTTAGCACTGTAAATCTTGCCCTTTCCTTTGGAGTAGCAGGTGTTCTGGCACCTGCTAGGTTGTGTTTTATTGGAAGTCCAGATGAAATATCCCACGGAATAGGGTTGAAGTTKTTGTTTCCATACAGGGGAATTTATTAGGCACTCCCTGGGTAAAGCTGGACCTGAAGCGTTCCAAAGTCATATAACTTATGTAAGGGGATGACAGCTTTTAATCGTAAAATATAGTTGATATTTCCCATGAGCCATTTAAAACTCAACTGATGTCATAAATACAAAGAATTAGACACGAGGACACCATTTCTGATGACCTCCCCTGACATTGCCGAGCTTTCCCCARGAGCTGAGCACTTAGGAAGTTATATTAGACTGGAGATTTCATCAAAAGGGCTCTGAAGGTTACCTCCTAAAACTGGTTTTGTCTATTAGCATCTAGTGCCAACCCTTGTCAGTCTTGATTAGTAGAAATAAATCACCTTAGCTTWGTGGCTCCGTCTCTTTCCTAGGATTTTGGAACGCTACGTCCAAGACCAGATTCCTGGTGCCACAGTAGTAGTGGAATCGATTGGAGCGCGGAGGTTCGGGGACGGATACTCGGARGAGGATTACACCAAGTCTGACCTGATGGTCTACGCCATTGACCCTCAAACCAACAGAGCTATAATGAGGAATGAGCTTTTTAAGTAAGTACCTGATCTGTTGCTCTTGAATCAGCTTGTGGTAAAGGCCACAGTTCTGCTGCCAAGCAGGAGCTTTTGCAGACGTAGGCATGCACTGCTCACATCTCCAAAACAGCTTCGCTGTCTCGCCTCACCACTCCAACATTACAGTGAAAAATGTGAGGTTTGGAGGCAAGCCTTGCACTGCAAAGGCAGACCCCTAATTCTGCAGCTGTGTCTAGCTGCTGAAGTTGGGTGGCCCTTGCCTTGGGTGCTCCAGGCTTGGACCTTCAGGCTTGCTATGGTTTTTGTTCGAGGCTTAAGCCTTGTGCCTTTTCTGTTGAAAACCAAAGGAAAGAAAAAGAGGGAAGGCCAAGTAGAGCCTAGCTGTCATCCTGAAGCACAGGCATTGGGCATGACCAGGGTGCACATCTACATCAGCAGTGCTCACAGGTTCCATAGGCCAGACGTAACCTCAGTAGGCTAAGGAGACAAATAACGCATAGGGACATCCCAGCAGCTGTTAAGACATGAGAAACAGCAGTGGGTAGACYACTAGGAACAGCAGTGGGTGGACCACTTAGACTCACAGTGTGGCACTGTTCAGTCTTCTTGGTGCTCTTCCAAACTAGCAGTCAGTTTAGTCATCGCATGTGGAGAGCAGGTTGTGAGACAAATTTAGGATCTCAACCCATTTGGCTGTCAATGCAGCACCACAATTGTAGAATGGTGCTATCAGAAATGGTATTTCTGATTTTCAGTGCCTTGCATACAGGTATCCAAACAGGAAAACTGCTCATCAAACCCTTCTGTTGTGGCTCACCTTTGTGGTTGCTCTGTCTTGGTGAAAGCTGGAGCAGCCTGTTCAGTGACAGCAAGAAGCAGCACAGCAGCCAACAGTCAAATAAGCAAATGGCTGTGAGCCATCCTGGTGGGCTGTGACAGGAAAAGGGCTTCTTCCCCAGAGCTCTGAATTTAGTACGGATGAGTTATAGTGGAGTCAAGCTCTGCATATATTGAGTTTTCAGGCTGGAAAAGATCACCATTGTTAGGCTGCCCTGGTCTAATAAAGACCATGGGAATTCCCAGAAATAATTTGGCATCTGCAKGAGCTTTCTGTCTGTGTAGAAAATGCAGGCCAAGACAAGGAAGCCGTAAATAATACTGAATTGTTCAGCTCTGCTTTCCTGGGCTTTTTTTTTAATGTGCCGTGAGCCTGTGCCGGCATGTTCAAGGTCGGAAGGATGTTCCCGGGTGCCCTGTGCAGCTTCAGCCAACTGAAGCAGGGCCACGAGGATGGCTGAAAATCCTGGCACCCTTTTACCCCTTGCACTGGAAATCCCGCTTCACAAATCTATTCCCAATAGGAAATAGAAAAACAAAGCAGTATATATCTTTTTAAGGATGCTTGTAAAATGCATGCCAAAAAAAAAAAGCAAAGATAGTTTGAAAGGTGATTTTTCTTTTTTTTTCTTTCTTTCTCAAGTGTAAGGAGAAGGTTATTCCTTTTCCAGATTAGAAAATGTATGGGACAACGTGAGCTTAGAAGCAACCTCATTAGGATGCTTCTTGTGCTTTCATGCTCAGCTTCCTTCCTTTTTCTTTTCTCCCCTTTGCGTCTTCAAAAGCTTTTAAATATTTAAATCAGCAAAATCCTGGGGAATGTTCCCCAGGCTTGGGGGTAGAGGTTAGCAAGTGTCAGCTTGAAAGGGGAGAAAGGCAGAGAGTTTTGTAGCTCGAAATCTGAAATTTTGCACTGGCGAGCGGGTGACCCTTGAGAGGTTTAGCTCAGCTCTGGTGCTTACCCAGAACTTTAAGAAAAAAGATCTTTCTTCTGTGACCTTTTTTTTTGTTTGTTTGATCATTTTCACTGGAATTTTGATCCTTGGAGATTAAAATGATCTTGGGAGAGGTTGCCACTGTCCCTCTCCCTCCTAAAAGGAAACCCCATGAAAACCAAGCACTGTTCTGTCTCTTACCATTTTTGAAGCTCCTAATTCACCTCTGGATAGCCATGGGCAGAAACTGGATACCATTCTGGTGGATCCAGAACGTCAGATTGTGTCCTTCAATAGTTTATTAGGCAATGCWAGGAAATGCAGAGCGAAGCACAGTCAGGGGTTCATGCTTTTCCTTAGGACATTTAAGACCATTCATGTGACATCTTTATTAACCAGGGATCTGTCTGGTTACGCCAACAGATGTATCTGAATAACAACTATGCTTACTTAGTCCTTCCTTCTTCCCCAAACTCTTTAAAAAGTTAAGAAATTGGGGGCATTTAGATAATAATACAGACTAAGAAGATCAGCTTTTTAAAATCATCTTTTGTTTGAAGGAGAGTTTGGTTTGTTAAAGGATAAATAGTTGCATCCAGAAAATTTCTCTTGCTATATTAAGTGAAAAGGAGCGTTTACTTAAAAAAGAAAATGCTTCTGCAGTCTTTTGCCCAATGTGTCATGCCTCTTCATGGAGAAAATGTGCATGCTTGAGTTATGAACCTGTTAAAAAAGGGTTTCTCAAGAAATGCCAGCAGAATTTTAACAGAGAACCTGTTAAAATCTTGTTGAGATGTAACGCTGTCAGGGCTCTCTAATGGCACCTCAGAGGACATCCCACATGYAGCAGTGACATCTAGTGAGCACCGAAAGGATTGGAGCTTCATTTTCGCCTTAGGTTTTGCCAGCCCTTGGTGTGAAGATCTTAAAGTTGTGAAAAGGGGGGTTTACTCATTTAACCCAGAAAATGGTGGGTTTTTGGGASGAATTCAAAGCCTTGATTGTGCATGTTAATAGAGCATTGCAGAAGAGGAAGTATCCGTGAGGGCTGTGCTCTAGCAGAACCTCTAGAGGTTGCCAGCACTGACAGCAGAACAGGGTTTCTGGTTACCTTATACCTGAGGCCTTAGGTCAGCTCCAGGTCTCTCCTGCTGACGCATCCCGCGGGTCAGCTGGRCCCCAGCTCCAATCCCTGCCTTCTGCCACCATGCAGGTTCCTGGACGGCAAGCTGCTGGACATCAACAAAGAGTTCCAGCCGTACCTCGGCCAGGGCGGGCGCATCCTGGAGATCCGCACGCCCGACGTGGTGGCCAACGTCAAGAAGCAGGCGCAGGCCGTGGGCTACACGGAAGGTGCTCTGCTTGCCCTGGCCGTCATCATCATCCTGTGCTGTATGCCAGCTATCTTGATAGTTATGGTCAGCTACAGACAGTGAGTACTGCTGCCTCCTTACCGCGATAGCCACGTGGCTGTGGAGAGGCCCCTTTGGGAAGGGCTCTTGTATTGCGGCCTTCACACAGGGGAATGTTTCTAGTGCCCTTCTCCTTGTGGCAGGGGATCAGCCTTGGTAGGGGATGTTCCCTGTGAAGACAAAAATGCCCTTTTTGGCATTTTCCAGCTTTTCCAGCTCAGGGTTATGTGCTGCGACACAAGGCGTTGTAAGTGCAGGTGAAGCCTGCAGTAGAGGAACTCAGTTCCTCTCAATTCCCCCTCAGTTCCTCCTCAGTTCCTTCATAGAGGAACCCAAAATTCCATGGGAAGCAAAAGGACTGAACTTGTTTTCTTGTCTACCCTGAAATACTCGCAGTTTTACTTTTTTCCCCTCTTTTTGTACCCTTTTTAATTCCAAGCATTCTGTAAAGAACTGATTTTTAGCCATTTTAGATCTATCTAATTCAGGCTGCACAGATCAAGCAGAATGAAGCCACTTGTTATTTCCATTCGTCTTCCAGAACCTTGAGAGTCTTAAATAATGGTGCTAATCCACAATTCACAAATCATAACTAAGGCTCAGGAATTAAAAGTCTCCAGGCCCTTCTTCACCTCTCTTGGTGTGTGATTAGGTCAAAAGACATCCCCGATGCCTTCTCAGAGTTTTCAGGAATCTGCCTAGCCTTGTTTCATCAAAAATCACATTTTTTATTGTCCAGAAATATTCATTAGGATTGGATTTATAGCAGCACACTGCGGAGAAATGTGTTTTTTGGAAAACAAAGGTAACAGCGGAAAGGAGCTGAGGAAGCAAGAGGAATTTCAGCGCTGATGAACACCAAAAGCTATTGGGAGACCAATGGAAAATCGGTCCAGTTTGGCATTCTGGTCTCATGGCAGGAGCTTTGGTGTTTTCCCTGGTGACAACCTTGACAAACTTGAGTTGGCCCCTGCACATAGAGGCTATAGCCAAATAAACGCAACCATCACCCCTGCTCAAGTTTTCTTCACTCTTAAAACTTATGTGCTGCRGGTAGCGTTTTCTCAATGCTTTCCAGATCACCAATCAAGTTAAGATCCAGTGAGTGAATTTTGGCTGCTGACTTTTTGTAAAATTGGTAGTTAAATTAAAGGATTTCTCTTTGCAAGATGAGATCAGCACTGTCAGGGTGCAGCTCGGAGCCTGCCTTGATGGCTTRTGAACAAGTCGGAGAAGTTTGTTAGTCTTTTCCACTAAGCAGCTGCTTTGCAATACACCATCCAGGCCATCACCAGAAGCCAAATGCAAATAATATATTATTTATTAATCGCTGAAAACGAGTGCCTTCTAAATAGGAGCCAGTAATAATTCACTTTTGCCRCGAAAGATGTTTTCTGTGTGTTGTCCAAGTGTGTTAAAAGAAGAAAATGGTTATAAAAATGTGTCCCTAATATTCAACCTGTTTTAGTTTCTAGGTGTAATCCTATTTTYCTATTTAATTATATCATATTGGGGTGCCAGGGGGGAAAGGGGGTTTTCTGAAAGCCAAAAGCAGTTTTTCTTTGCTGTCACTTACATTGATGGTGTCTGCAAATTTGGTTCCAGAGTCTCACAAGCAGCACCCAAATGCCGTTCAGGCCTGGAAATTAGGGCTCTTTAAGCAGGCCATTAATCCTGTGTTTTTACGTGTGCGATAATTAAGCAGCCTCTAGTTTATTCCTACTGTTAGATTCAGTGCTCAGGAGAGTTGCTGCAATTGGGATGCATTTAACCTTCCTTTTTATCTTTTTTTTTTTTTTTTCCTTTTCGCATGGCAAAACAGATTCAAAGAGTAAGTATCGACTTCCAGCTTTGCTTCTTGCCTAAGATTACTACTTTTTAAGAAGAAAGGCTGTTTGAAATGCCATAAGCAATGACTTCCTGTGCTCCAGCTTGTTCCTGTCATCTTGCACAGCTCAGTTTTTAAGTCCGTTTTGCATCTGCTTTGTGTTTCCTTACTGTGGGCTAACCCACAAGAAGGATCTCAGGACGTGGCTTGTATCCTGTAGAGGGGTTAAAAAAAGAAGTATTTTAGTATTTTAGCATGCATGGTCTTCCCCAGGCCACCAAGGGCACATCCGAGCATGAATGGGGCAAGAATCAGGAACTGATGGCGGGTAGAGGGTGCATAGGAGGTGGCATGTCGAAATTGCACAAAAAACGGAAAGCCACATGTGAAATCGAATCCTGCGCCTGGGCTTAAGTCTGGTGACAGGCCGTTCCTAACCTGTGTTCGCCTTCTTCCCGCAGGCGCCAGGCCGAGTGCGCTAAGACGGCTCGTATCCAGATGGCCTTGCCAGCGGGCAAGCCGGCCAGCGCCGCTGCCAACAACCTCTATGAGGAGCTGGGCGACAGCACCATGTAAGTAGCGCCCACGACCATCCAGGCAGCTCTCACTCCRGCCCATCCTCGTGGCAGGAGGTTTCACCAGCTGCTTGAGCTTCTTCGCTCCAGCTTGAGCCTGGTTGCAGCAAAAGCCAAGGGGAGGGAGCAGGAGATCTCCTGCTCCCATGGGTTCCTCGTAGCGCCCAGGCTAATCTTCAGCAGGTTTTAAGGTGGCCCGAGAACAGGGCATGAGCAGGATGTGGTGGTTACGCTCTGGCTGCATGTCTTCTCCAGAGCAAGAGCTTCCACCAGGATGAGCTGTTCCCAACCTCCCATTTGCTGGAATACAAAGTGCTCTATGGAATAAATTAGAGATTTCATTTTGTTTTAAATTCGGAACCATTTGAATACTGAAATGAAACATGAAAGAACTATTAAACCAGAAAAAAAAAGAAACAGCACCGGTAGGTCAGTGAACGCATCTTTTACCTATTACAGGCTCATATATTGCAGAGCTGCCTTTACCTCTTAATGTGTCTGGAAGTTGGAAGCTTACAGGCTCCGACAACAATTTAACTCTCAGTATGAAAATATTGCAGGAGAATGGGCAATTAATTTATAGCATTCTGTATTTTGAGGTTTTTTTTTTTTTTTTTTTTTTTTTGCTTATAAGCATGCCACGCTGGTTCATCTTGTTTTCAAGTTTCAACACTAAGCAGCACAGAGGAGCATAGTATTTAAAAGATATTTGGAAGTGGAGGACGGGAGAGATTTCTTGATGGCTTTGAGTTTTGCCCAACTTGGGCTCAGTCATGATTTATGGGGCTCAGACATGATTTATGGGGCTCAGGGAGCTGAAGCTTTGCAGATTGAGTTGGCAGAGCATTAAGGGGCCTGGCACAGTACATCCCACTGCTCTCTCAGCCTGATCTGAAAGCAGACTCTGTGTTGCAATGAGTCACCTCACATTCCCCTACACAGGGGARCTCCAGGGTCATGGCTGAAGCAGAAGCTTCCAACACCTTGTTTTCCTCCAGTGCCTTTGGGTGGGAAGGGAGGAAAAGGGCATGTTTCCCAGGATTTGGTCTTAATGATCTTGAAGGTCTTTTCCAACCATAATGACTCTGTGAATGTAGAGCAGTATTTGGGATGTGAGCACTTCTGCTTAGGGGCCATGTGGGATCATGTGGATACACTCGCAGATAAAGCGAAATATGTGGCTGGGGAAAGTCTCCGTTTGTTTGAAGATGGCAGAAATTGCAACCAAAGTTAATGAATGGCTTCTAGTTTTATTAGAAATTATATAAAGCAGATTACCAGTGGGAAGGGGACATCCCATTGGATGAACAACTGTATGCTCACCCTTAGTGAGTGTCTTCTGCTAAACCCAGAACAAGCCTCATTGGGCTGGGTTGGAATCTGCAAAGAAAACTGTGGTTGATACAGCAAGCTATAGGTTCGTATTTACATTATTTGCAATGTTGGCTTTGAAAGAATGAGTGCTGCGAGCTGTGACCGTTTTGACAGCAAATAAAATTTTCACCCACAGAAAAAGATGCCACACCTGGAATACACTCTCCTGAACAGCATTGCATTTGGCTGTTTCCCATTCCCTATCAAATATGTATCAAGAAAAACCCTTTAAATGAATATCCCCTAGGGCTTTAATGAAAAATGACAGGCTTTAGTAAGAATACCTTTGAATTATCAAACTTCTAGCAACTGTTTGATTTGTAAGGTGCTGGTATCCTGGTGGCATTGGTCTTTGGGGAGTCACTTCTTTAACATGGTGAATTTTAGCAGACTGTTGCCTCTCTTGAGTTGCCTGAAGACAGCTGGCCTTCATTTGCGGTTCTGCCTTGGCACTTGTTTGCTTTATTTGGTGTTTACAGCAGGTGAAATGGAAAACTTTGTTTTTAAATCTTCTTTGTCTCATCATTTCCGTTCCTCTCTGTCTTTGGATACATAGGCATCAGTAAGTAAGCTCATTTCATTGTCTCGATGTTCATAGCTGCTAGAAACACCAGCTGATTTTCCTTCCTCCCTCCATTCCTCCCTCCCTTTCCATCAAATGTGGCCATCCAAAACTCATCTTTTTTGTCTCCATCGATCCTGTAGAGGAAAGACATTTACTGTGGAGTCGTGATATCCATACACTACTTTTCCCAGGGGCAGGACGGAGAGATGCCGGATGACGGCTGAACTTGAGTCGTATTATTTCTAAGGGCATGTTGAGATCTGCTTTCCGTTCCTAGAACTAGGAACTTGCACCTGGATATGGGCAAAGTGCTCCGTGTCTGATCTTTCTGATCCCTCACCAGGCACATGGTCTTTCAGTTTGCAAGTTATGGAGCGATTATTTCTCCTTGGTTAAAACATCTCTATGTAAACAGAGCAAAACACACATATTTCAGGAGAACTTCATTCCTCACATGAAATGAGGAAATAATTAGCTTCATTTATTTGTGTTTACAAGCCAAGCTTTGAAATAATCCGTTCCGGTAGCACAAAGGTTATGTCGTCTTGCATGAACCTTCTACTGGAGGGTTTCCTTCAAGTTCAGCATCATTCATTTCTCTCACCCCTAGGTATGAACCCCTTTCCAGCCTGAGGAGGCTTGGCCAAGCTCCAGGGATGCTGCTCTAGGATAAAGAGTTCCTCTTKAGTATCTAAATATGTAAACATCTTCTGCACTCATGCTAGGAAGCATTTAACCCTCTGCAGGTTAAGCTTTCTATGATTTACATCGTAGTAATAGTATATATTTAGTAATAGTTTTTGGGATACAACCCAAAAGGAAAAAAGGAAGGAAAATCTGAGTTCTAGACTTGCCATTTTTTCCCGTAATCCTTCAGTTAATGCCCATCCACTTTATTTTTTTTCCATATTTAGAAGGGTAAGAGTGAATTTTGGCAACACAAACACCCAGAGTTTGTAACTCAGATGGTCGCGAAAACCCTGGACTCCTCTAAGTTGGGAAAATAGGTTTAGTGGCATTTTGATGTTGTTGGGATTGTGTGTGCAGGTATCATTCCTGCCATCCTGAGCTTTAACCACAGTTGCTTGACTGCAGAAAATAGAGGGAAAGGTTTTAACTGCAGCACTCAGAGTGCGGCCCGCAAGTGGTATGTGCAGACAGTGAAGAGTTTTAAACAAATAGTGAGAAATCAGTAATGCAAAACACTCTACCATCATGTCTCCTTATGCTGTCATGTTTCTCCCATAGTCTGGAAATAGGTTTTGAGTCAGCCTCGTTGCAAATAAAAAGGGAGAAGAAGGGTCTTATTTTTCAGGTGTCTCCGGGCTTGGCCAGCATCTTAAACTTGTCCCAGGTGAAGATGATTATTTTATTTGCAGCTCCAGATGAGGGTTATTTAGAGTAAGCRTTAGGGACACATTGCCATCAGGCAGTTTTGGGGGGTGTTGGCTTTAAAACAGTGCTTATTATCACTACTTCGTGGTATTAGAAGTAATATTTTGGCGTGAATATGAATATCATATGTGAAAACCCAGTGCCTTGCTTGGCAGTGCTCTGAAAAGGGGTCTTAGTAGAAGGCCCAGGCGCGTTGGGGTCTCTTGGGACTGGGATTTTCAGGCTTGACGTCTGCTAGGGGAGCGATTCTGATTTAAGGAGTGATCTGGAGCTCTTAAAAGGCAACACAGGGCACGCTTGGAGGTTGTGTGGCTATTGTGAGACCCGGGAAGCTCCTTGAGTTAAAAATAATCGTATGTCTGCTGTGTTGGCTGCCCGGTGCCGCTGCTGATGGGAGGCGGGATGGAGAAGCCGTTTCATTTGGGCACGTTAGCTCAGAGAAAACACGTTGCGCCAGCTGTGGCACTGGAAAGACACAGGAGTCGCTGCGACTTTTGGAATTTAAGGGTTTTGTTTATTTGTTTGTTTGTTTGTTTGTTTTAAATCGGGGCAATTTTAGAGCTTTCACAGTACCTGAAGCCCTATTCTGACTCCTCCTCCTGTCCTTCTGCTCTACAGAAGATAGGAAAGTAAATGTCTTGCCCAGTAGTCCAGTAGCCGTGGCCTTCCTGTTGGCTAGTCCTAGCTTGCTGAAAGTGCTGCTGTGATGCTGATCCATACCATGAGCTCTTCTTTTTTTTATTTTTATTTTTATTTTTATTTTCTCATTTTTTTTAAAAAAAACAACTTCTGTGTCCATGCATGCTTCCTTACACGTGACTATCTTCTTTTCTTTCAAGTCTTTTTCTTCTCTACCATTTCCAACAAAGCAGGGGAAAAAAGTCAGTCTTAGAAGAAGGAGACCGGCAGCGGGTTATAAGCAGCTTTGCCTCGCGCGCCATCGAGGCTCACAAGCAGTCTAGCCTCAACGGCTCGCTCAGCGCCAACCTGCCCAAGTCGGCCAGCAACGTGACCTTCCTGTCGGACGAGAACCCGCTGACCACGCGCAACCCGCTGTACGTGGAGGGCAGCGGCGCGAGCCCCGGCGGGGCGCCGCGCAGGAGGAGCCACGCGCCCGGCGCCCTCTCCTCCCCTCCAGGCTGGGCCTTGAGGGAGGCGCCTGGCGGAGGCGCCCACCGTGCGTGGACGCTGCCGGCGCCCGGTGCGCTGAGCCGCCCAGTCATCATGGACCCCGTGCAGTGGCAGCAGGAGAGGCTCCGGGCTGAGAAGGCAGGGGCCGCGCGGCGGCCCGTGCTGGTTGACGTGGGCGGCGCGGCTTTGCAGGAGGCCATCAGCCCCAGCCTGACGGTGAAGGAGAAGGCGCGGCAGTTCGAGCAGCAGGCCCTGCAGGAGATGAAGCAGCTCAGGTCGCCCGATGTCAGAACCAGCCGCTTGTCTGGCCACAGCGGCCGCTGCCCCGACGGGGAGGCCGGGCCAGAGCAGGCGCCGCCAGGCGCGCTGGCCTCGCCATGCCGCCGCTCACCGCTGGCCCCCCGCACACCAGAGCCCGAGCCCGCCGCCGTGCCCTCGCTCGTCGTCACCCTCCACGAGCCACCCGAGGACGCGGCAGCCTCGTCGCCGCCGCCCGCCCGAAAACCCACCCCTCCGTCTTCCCGGAGCAAGAAGCCGCTTTGCCAAAGCTTCCTGGCGCCCCAGGCCCAAGGAGAAGCTGCTGGAAGCATCCCAGACCCGCCTGCCACCCCCCCVCCCCCACCGCCACTCCTGCCACCTCCGCCTCCGTCCCCTCCTCTACTGCCACCGCTGCCACCTCCTCCATCTCCTCCCAAGGTTTCTCTCGCTTCTTTTTCTCCATGCCCCCGTAGCCCCCGGCTCCTCTCCCTGGCCAAGCACCCCCAGTCCCCCGCGCAGCCACCGGCCGCCCCGCCGGCGGCGCCCCCAGTGCCAGCGCCGGCCCCTCGCCGCGAGCTTAAGGGGATCCTTAAAAACCTCCAGAACTTAGCGGCCATCGAGAAGTCGGTGGCCAACATGTACAGCCAGCTCGACCAAAACCACCCGCTGCCCAAGCCCGTCGTCACCAAGCTCAAGGCGCCGGCGCCGCCAGAGCCACCCGCTGCCGCCGCCGGCGCCACCACGGAGCGCAACGGCGGCCTGAGCTGCGTCGTGGAGGAGCTGGAGAAGCGCTTCCCCTCCCAGTCGACCGCCCTGTGACGGGGACCTCTCGCTCGGACGCGTGCCCAAAACACAGACTTCTTCTTTCGCGCTTYTTTTGGGGGACGGTGGTGGGGAGAAGCACCCACTTCACTGGTGCTTCACCTGGAGTCACCTTCGCTGCAGGCGAAGGTTCCTGCCTCGCTTTGCCATGAAAACGAGCCATGCCAGCGGCATCCCAACCTCCGGCACGGGATGCCGGAGTGAGCGGAGCGCAAGCCACAGTGCTTTCGTCCGAGTGGCTGGCTGGCTGAGCGGGAGACCGTGCCAGCACGCTGGCTTTCAGCACGCGTTCCCATCTCCACAGCCGATGAGACCTCCTCTGGATTTATCCAACTGCTGTCCTTCCTCTTCTTACCCTTGTTATGCCTTCCATTGCATTCATTTTTTTTTCATATTTATATCACAACTGCATGTTAAAAGTTTTTATTTTGTAAATAATTTAATGTTGAAAAGCATGTATTTGTCCTATTTATTTTGCATGTTCACTCTGTTGACTTGCCTTTCTAGCTGTCATGCYGCTTCACCGTGAGTTTTCCAGCTCAACCGTCTTGCTTCCTTTGCAATGCAATCAAGTCACTTCCATGAGTGTCGCTAGTGGAGGGGTTTGTCAATGGCTTAAAAACAAAATCCATACCACATGGATTTCCTTACTGGCTTTTTTCTTTTTGCTTTTGTTGTCAGACCTTGGAAAAGGCAGATATAAGGGTTAGGGATCCCTAATGGAGTTTCATGCCATCCATTGCAGGAAAAGCCACTGCAGGTAGCTCTGAGCTCTTATCCAGTGAGGAAGTTAGGGAAATCCAGCTTAATTTTGGCTGGAATGAATGCAGCTGTTACTCTTCTGCTGGATTGATTTTTTCTTTTTTAATATCCTTTATTTTTAAAAATAATTTTTTAGACTGGAGTTTTTAGAGTGGAGCTGTGCCAATCCGCAGGTCTTCTAAACTCAACCTAGAAAGCATTTGTGCGTTTGGGGTTTTTTTTGTGTGTGATATTTTTCCATACGCGAGCAGCTACAAGGTAAGATGCAGCAGGTGCCTGCTGGTATGGCCGTAACAGGGATAACAGCAGCTCCAGGCAGCTGGCAGCTCCTCACATTCGGGTGACTGGATCCAAGTCATCCCCGCTCGCCCTTTTGTGCTGGGCACCCTCAGCGTTTCCTCACCTCCATCCTCACGTGCATTCCGGCCTTGCTTCCCGGGTTCGCCCACGACGCCTCCACGGGTGGTTTTTATGCAGCAGCAGTTCCCTTCCTTGGGCAGAGAGCTTTCAGGTTCCCTCCTGGAGGAAAAAGAAACAAACAAAYATTATTTTGACCCTTGATTTGTATGTATGTATGTATTTTTAATTATTTTTTTTAAAAGAGTAGTATAGTGGTGCTGTTTTTAATGAAATTGCATTCCACATTACATTGATGTCTTAAAAATTTTGATGCCCGACGTAGTGTTGGCTCAAAAGCACTAAAGACCATCAGGCTCTGCAAAGTCCTGGATCATCTTCTGATGGCCAGTCTTGGTTGCACTCGGTCAAGTCTTGGTTGCACTCGGTCATTACTTCCCTCTAACGTGGGCAGCCACCTTGATTTAGTGTGCCACAGGCTGCATAGCAATAGAAAACACTGTGCTATTAAAGTGCTATTAGGCACGGTGCTATTAAAGAATTACAAAGTAACTTCCTGTGCTCTCAAGTCTTATTTTCTCAAGTGCAGTTGAAAGAGTTGCCCGAGCCTGCGTGGTATTTGCGGAGCTCAGTGTCGTTTTGAGCACTTACTCCTTCTCTTTTCAGAAAAAAACAACATAAAAATGCTCAAGTTTATCCTGAACAGCAATGCTATCCTGAASAGCAAGACCCAAATCCACCCGTTAGGTGGCATTTTTAAATTTCTTAGCATAAAGTGGATAAAGGCAAAAGTCAATATAGTAAGCACATTAGTCCTGTCTCCCAGCAGCTCCAAGAGAAGGAATTACAACAGCAGCGGGAAGCTTGCAATGAGATCCAAAGCCTGCAGCAAAATAATCGGGCATAAGCAAAAATAATGCAACTCCCCCATCCTGTGGAGGGGAATGATGAAGTAGGAAATGGGTGATTTTAGTGATCAGATTTTAGTAAAATAACATTGTTGGAAGAAATTAGTAATGTCTGCTGTGGGTTGATTTCTAGGAAGTCACCAAGTATTTTTGTGATGTTTTTCCTGGAAAAGTCTGGGAGCAGGATGGGAATCAGTGTCTTTTCCTGGGGAGCCGGGGACGAATCTCAGATTCCTTCTCTGTTTGCAGCTGGGGGCAAGAAAACGTCCCTGTGTTTCCCTTGCTCCTTTCGTGCACCAGTGCATGTGTCAGAGCAAATGTAAAGAAAAGCAGATGTGGATGGGGTAGGAAGGTGGTGTTTTGGTAGCCTGAGCTCTAATTGCGGTGTCTTTTCACCTCTCTGCAGAACGGATGGCAGTGGGTGTCTCTGTAGCCCCAAACCGAAGTGTACTAATACTCTCTTTTTCTTTTCCTGACTTTTAGGCGAGGATATGCACAGCAAGAGGTAAGGCTGTTGACCAACTACAGAAAAAAACATGTATATAAATTTAATTTTATTTATATAAAAACGGATGTATATCTATATAAGCTTGATATGTATTATATATACACCATGGTTAAATTGTGAAACTTGTTGCTGTAGGGGATACTTAAACAACTCAAAATACAAATGGGCTCTTTTCATAATTGGAAGGTTCTCCAAAACCTGTTTTTATCCTGAAGGTTGATGTTTAATGATGAAAGCAGGATCAGTGTCATCAATCTCTGGGGTTTCACTGCATCCCACATGTAGCCCTGTTCCGTGTGCGACATAAAGATAGAAGTGCTTGATGGGCTTTGGTGACTTTGGGCCATCACCCATGAAGAGCTCTGACCAACCTGTGCTTTAAGGGTTTCTTTCTGATCATAGTTCCGACACAAACCACCTGCTCTGTATTTGCTACCAGCTAATTAATCTCTTATTTTCTTCGTTAGCAACAGCAGTTGCTGAGACCTTCTCTTCTCAGACCAGAGGTACCGTTGTTTTTTATTTCTAAATTATTCTGTAACTCTTAAATGACCTTTACGGTATTTTGTAATCAAAACCAACTTTTTCCCTGCTAGTTTTATTTCCACAAAAAAAAAAAAAAAAAAAAAAAAAAAAAAGCTGTGCAATTGGTGCCCCATTTAATAAGTTCTCATCAAATACCTGAATGTTGCCACCTCTTGATGTTTCTTCCCTTGAGCATCTTGCAGTTGCTCCTATTGACTTCATCAAGTCATTAGGAAAGTTTCCTGTCCAACTGCCATCTGTTTTTTCAGGAGTCTCTTTTCAGACCAAAATTGTCTTAAAAAAATGATGCTGGCCCCAGTCTCATTTCCAGGATGAACAACAAACGAATGGCACTTGAGTTATTGTAGAATTAGGGGGAATACTCCAGTGAAGGGGGGCACCATAGGCTTTGGAAGCTCCCATTGACATCCCAGTACCATTCCTGATATCCATCAGTATTGCTTGGACAATAATCCTTTTATTTTTTCTGCATATTTGCTCTCTGGGATATTGTTCTTGGTGTTGTTTATGTGAGTTACGTTGGGTGCTAGTGCTTGCATTCATTCGGTGTCTCTCTCTTGGCAGGAGTTAAGTATGGAATCTGGAATTGACCCAGGGCAGGAATACTATGGGCAAGATTACTACAGTTATGAGCATGGGTATAATTTCAGTTTTTCCCTATATATTTCTGAAAATGCTGCTTGAATAACTCCTTTTTTTCTTAGGAATCTGTTACACTGCAGAGAAGTATCCCATTTATCCTGTCATTTTTGTTTTCACTTTTTATTTGCYTGTATTTGCTGGATTGGAAATTAGTTTCCATCATTCCTCCCCTCCTGCAACTTGGTTCTTGCCGATCCCCAGCAGCCTTCAGCCTTTAGGATTTACCCCAAATCCTCTTTTTCTGCCTTGTTCTGTCAACGTGATAAATGCCAGTGCTTGGATTGCTGGTTTTCTTACGAGTTTGCAGAGATCCTCCAGCACCCATCCCAGGAGATCTGGTCTTTGGCTTCCTAAATTAAAAAAATCAAATTAAAAAAATATATAAATATGTATATATAAATATGTATACACACACACACACAATTATATATATGTTTTTATGTATAAATATGTGTGTGCATAGATATATATACACACATGCATGCACATATATATATGTGTGTGTGTGTGTGTGTATATATATATATATATAAAATAAAAGCGTGGGAAGGGAATTCATGTACCTTATAGGAAATTCTGGCCCACTCCAAACGCTCCATCCACAGGAGTGCACTGAATGTTCCTATTGGATTGTGTCACTGCTGGGGTAGAGCATGAAATCCTCAGGTAGAGTGAAAGAACGAAGCGGTTGCTGTGCTTTGGGGCTGTGCATTTACTGCTGTGTATGGGGACAGCTGGCATATGTTGCTCCCTTTCCCATGCAGTTATGAGCTGCCTCAGTACGGGAGTCGCCGCCGGTTGCTGTCTCCTTCGGGAATGTATGACGAGTACGGGGAAGTGGTTGTGGAGAACGATGGCGGCTATTACTATAGTCCACACGGACCGACAGCRGAGGAGGTAAGTGCAGAACATTACTCAGTGCCTCCTGATTTGGTCTTTGTAACAAGAGGAYGCGTCATGCGACCTTGCCAAATCATTTATTGACGATTGATTAGAAATTGAGGTTGGATAGAGTTGCATTGGTGGTGCTCATCATAGCCCACCATTCTGCTGACCAGTAAAGTGTATGTCAGCAGCTCCCTTTGTTAGAAATTAGAGAGGAATTGCAAAGTTTCCTTTAATAGACGCCTCCAGTTTTCCCTCAGGATGAGTTTCTAGTTCGATGAAAAGTGCGTGGAGCCTTAGGTAATTTCATTTTATATTTGCAAGCAAATGGGGTATAACTAATGCTCAGCCTATAAMTGGTGATCTGCCAGTGAGAAACACAGTCACCTAAATACATTTGTCACAGAGCTCATAACTGAATGTAAAGAAAATATTTTAAAATGTCAGTGGCAGCCAGAAGAGAGTTGATGGAAAAGTTCATTTTTTATTTAATGTTCAGAGATACTAGGCTGTTAATCCATCACATAGATGTTAATTAAATGAGAAGAGATAACATTTATGAGCCAGTGCATTTCACTCTTGGACAGCAAGATAGTTGTGCACTAGCTGCCTGTTGTAAAAGTAAGATTTCCTCTGTAATTTTTGTAAGAAGCAGACCTGAAGCAGGTAAATTAGTTTTGATGCTGGGCTAAGTGTTGTATTCGTTCCTTCTCTGTTATTTTAGGGAAACGCTTTCCTAATAGCTCTTTTCCAAATCGTAACCAAGTTCCACTTTCATAATTTGCAGGGAATGAGTCAAGGCAGAGGTCCTCCAGGGAGAGGTATAAGCCAGAGAGCAGGGCTTCAAATGGAAGGGAGACCTGTAGGTGGTGGGATGGATCTAAGACATGGTACTGCAAGAATGTATAGAAGCAGCCAGGGCAAAAGGAAACTAAGAGCAGTGATGCATTTAAGTCGCCTAGCAGTAAGCACTCGCCGTCCAGTACGGAGAGCTGAGCCTGCTCCTTCTCCGTGGAAGAAAGCGAAGATATTCCCAATGATTCTACAGAAAGTCAAGGGCGGTAGGAAGGACTCCAGTTATGCCAAGCTCATGTCAGCTCGCCAAGCAGATGGTGATGAGAGCGTGATTGTCAAGGGAAGTTACTTCCAGAAATCGACAGATGAGAGACCTTCCATGAGGAAGCTGAACCACGTGTTGAAACGCATCAGTGTTTCCAAAAAAATGCAGGAGATCCACGCGAGAGGAAAAGGAGAGGAGGAGCATGAAGGTGATGAAACAAAATCAGGAGTTTCAATAAGTATCACGGCCGAAAGTGAACATGAGGAGAGTGATTATGAAAAGAAGAAAAAGAAGAGAAGACGGCACACATCTGAGGATGAGTCATCAGTGAAGAGTAGTAGCTCTGCCTCAGAGTCGGAAGATAAAGACTATTTGAAAGTAACACTGGACCAAGATGAAGCCACTGAGAGTACTGTGGACTCTGATGAGGAAGATGGGCACGGTTTTGRGGAGTCAGAAGACGACGACTCAGGGTCCAGCTCCAGTAGTGACTCCGAGGAGGACTCATCCGAAGAGGAAGACGATGACGAGGAGGACTCGGAAAGCGATGAAGACGATAGCCAGTCYAAGAGCTCCTCAACGCAAAGTTCATTCAGCCGATCAGGTCCTAGCGAGTCCAGCAGCAGCAGCAGAAGGTCAAGCACAAGAAGCAGAGGGGGTGGCTCTCGTGGAAGAGTGAGGCGCTCCAGCCAGAAGTCAGCGGCRAGTTCGGATGCGTCTGGGAGCGAGAGGAACACCAGCTACCGGAAAACTTCAGGATCCAGCTATAGGAGCAAAACATCCTCGGCCAGCCTTGAAATAGAAGACACGATAGAAGAGGTGTCGGAAGAAGAGGAGCAAGCAGACGTGGAGCAAGGTGACGCGAGCCTTGACGAGGCAGCAGATGACGGAGATGATAAGGCCCCTCCTGAAACATCTTCGGGCAATGCAAGAAGAACTGCCACTGCTAAAGCAAACAGGAAAGATAAATCGAGTGTTAGTGGTGGTGAGCATGTGGATGAAAGTTCAGAGGAGGTTGCTACAGATGACAGTGACGGAGAGGAGACCACCAGTAAGAATGAGTCTAGTTGCCTGGACAGTGAAATCAGCTCCGCCACCAAAGGAACCAAAAGCACGACGAGCGCCACCTCGAGCAAAACCGAGGCTTCCCGTCAGAGCGGGACTCAAAGCTCTGACACCAATGGGAAGAGAAGGAAAATGAGGAAAAAGGCCTCCCTGGAAAACAGTGGATCGCGGTCCGACGAGACCCTGGATACCGCAGAGTCAGAGACCACGGGTGACTCCACCGCCTTTTAGGAAAGGCCGAGCAGTCGGAGGGCGTCCTGCAGTAAGGAGTGGTCTTGTTTGCTGTGCCTTCTGGGTGCTCTGTCCTAAGCGGTGCCCGCTCAATGAGAGGTGGCCAAAGAGAGCAGGTCCAAAGGCATCGCGGCAGCCTTGGCATCTTAATCTTAGCACTGTTAGAGAAAACCAAACAAATATGAGTGCTACTCAGGTATTACTCTATGGCATGTGTAGAAAGGTTAATTTTCATCCAGCACGGGCAAGGAAGGAGCACTTATTTTCTCTGCTCATTCCAATAATAAAACAGAAGGATGTTAATTCTTAGATTTAAGCCAATAAAAAGTAATTTTTTGCCTTAGCAATGCTGGATGTCTTAAGGGACTTGAGGGCACRAACCCTTTCCAGGCTCATGCCCGTTAACGTGTCTAGCATAGCTGGTGTCCATCAGCAGATGCTCCAACAAGCAGAGTGTTTTTGTTAGCATGKTTCTGCTCAACATGAGTATGACAGTGTGCGGAGCGTTGCTGTTATTTATGACTCAAGTGGCCTTTGGGTTTTCATATATGACACAACCGTCGCATGATGGATGGCCTTGCAGGGACATCTGTGCTGTCCCCACACACGGTGCTGAAGCTTTGTGTGCCCACGAGCTGTCAGTACATCGTTTATCTTGTAGTAAAAGCCTTTTTGGCCAAAATAAACTGTTTGGCCAACACTAGTTTGGGTCCCCCCCCAGAAAAGTAATAAAAAGCCTAAGTAAAATTAAATTTTTGATGAGATTTGATGGATTATTCTTGAGGCCTCCAAAGGTAATACAAATTCTGGTATATTCTAAAAACAGAAGGCATTTAGATTTATGGTTAGTTGCCCATCCTAAACTGTCAGACTTTTCATCCACCTCAATATATCAGCTTGAAGAAAATTGCATGTCTCTATCAGGAACAAAAGGTCGATGAAGGCCCTGTAAGACCGGTGGCCAAASTGTAACTTTTCCAAAGCATAAGGGTTATCCTCACCTGTTTGTACCTTGCGTGATTTTCTTTCTCTGAAAACTGCATTTTCTTGCATGCATGTGTGTGCATTGCAGTGGGACTTACCTGTGGTGGTATCTGCTGCCTTAGGGAAATAATGGGATTGCCATGAATAATTCAGGGATGATTAGGAGCTTGTTTTAGTGCTTTGCAAGTGGGCAGATTTAATTTACAAAATAACAGTTTTAACTTAAGTAATGGGTTTTGTGTAGTCGCTATTATAGTACCAAGTCACAGAAACATGGAAATTAAGCACAGCCAAGATGTTGCTCTCCTTGGTGTGTTGTGCATGTAAAACAGAGCTACTCAATGATGTTTTTGCAACAACTTCACTATTTAATAGCACTCTGGAAGAAATCTTCCAATGCATTTGCCTAAGCATCTGTCCACAAGCCAAGTAGTTTCTTCAAAATATCACTTACCTGTTTCTTCACCACCAATACATTTCAGTTGCTATTAGAGGGGGGTATTAAGTGTTTTGCATGGGTGTTCGTAAGGCAAGTGTGTTCCAAGCGTGAAGGAATAAATCACGTTTTTTTAATACATCTACACTCCATCTCAAGGAAACGATGCCATTCCTGAACTCAAGTGAGTATGACMATTTTACAGCTTTTTAGTAAAAGAGTTGGTTTGTGTGCTTTAGCATTAAGTGCATATGCTGTTGTTGCACGATCAGAATAATCGAAAACGAGAGTAAAACAGACTAAGTTAGGAAAATTCATAGGTAGTGAATGGATAAAGACAGGGGATGAATGGTAGATAAGGACATGGTGGGAAAAGGACAAGAAAATGTAAGAAATAGGGCTATGATGTAACAGCATTTCTGTTTGTTGTCCGACAGTGGGCCAGGAAGAAAAGGATCAAGTTGATAGTCGACCCCGAATACGAGACTAGCTCCACCGGAGAAGACAGCGCTCTGGACTCCAGCCAGAGGAATCGTCTGAGCAACCCCAATATCCAGAACAATGTCAACGGTAACATCTACATTGCCCAGAACGGCTCAGTTGTCCGAACGCGCCGCGTTTGCCTTGCTAATAATTTAAAAGTCACATCCCCAGCGCGRCTGGGGAAGCACTTCAAGAAACTGGACAAGCTCGCGGTGACGCACGAGGAGAACGTCCCGCTGACCACCTTGTCCCCAGGGCTGCCCTCGGGCGACAAAATAAACACCAGACCTTGCAGTGTCTCGTTTGCACCCTCGGCTGTAGGTGCCGAGCATGGAGTAACAAAGCTGGGGGGCACCAAACTGAAAAGCACAGAAGAGCAGGAGTCAGTGGTGGACAACGAGGACACCAAAGAGCCCTTGGAGTCGCACAGCGAACACACGCAGTCCGATGAGGAAGAGCTCTGGATGGGCCCTTGGAATAATCTTCACATACCAATGACGAAACTGTGATTTTCTTTTTTTTTTTCTTAATTTTTACTTCAGTTTATAATAAACTGCGCTTTTTATTGTCACCGAGGAAAATGTATGAAGTTTGTATCGTGCACATATGTTGTATACTACAAACAACATGCTTTAAAGGCTAAAAGGAAAAAAATATATTTGCACTCACATTTGTACCAATTAATTGTCCTCCCCAACGACGATTTTGACAGGCTCCCATTGCACTAAACAATCCTTCGTTTGAGTTTATTAGTCCTTTTGGATCTTGGTTATCGTTTAATAAATGGCAGAACTACTAATAAATGCACAGCAGCATTTGGGTAACTTCTCAGACCGTTCTCTACCTGCCTAACCTGGTGTTCTGTATGGTATTCATGGCTCTGCTGTCTAGATTTGGAAATTGTCTATTTATGGTCTTGGTTTCTATCCAGAGCACTTGATTCTGAACTCAGAGTAATAAATTAAAAATAAATCCCTGGAAGTCAACAGAGCAGGTCCTCGGCTGGTTTAAATTTGAGTGGCACTGCCACAAGAGAGAGCGATAGATCAGCTTATGCAGAGCTTATCAGCTTATGTCTGTAAGAGTGGTCTAAGCATGGACAAAATTTGGCTAAAATTCATTTAAAATTACAGAGAGGACTAAAATGCATAGCAATTAATCTTATTCAGAGTTACCTGGCCGTACKTTGTTCATGTGCTTTGGTAAATTAGCTTTGGTAAATTAGCTCATTCTTGTTTCCTTCCCCAGTTTGTTTTTCATCTCTTCCCATGTTGTTTCTGTTTTCTTCTCTGCATGGTCCTTGGTTCCAGTTTCTGTGCTCCATCTGTAATTGTCATCCTAGGGCTCTACAGTTCTCTGAACTAAAGCAGGACAATATCAGAATCTGCAGGAAGGAAGAGCTTTTAAGAAAGGTTTATTTGTAAAATAYCGTTTTGTCTGGAGCCCGCTCCAGACTTTCGTTTTGTAACTTAAAAAGCAGTTGATGCCTCGCAGCAACTTGAGTAGAGAGCCGAGAACTGAAGCTATTGGTAATCGCTATGTGGTACCTAAGAGTTCTTGGCACTGCAGAGCAGTGTGTTTTTCTCCAAAGCAATATTAGAAAGAAAAAAAAAAATCCCATGTATTCACATGAGAAAAGATCTTGTTGTATTATGCAGGTCATTTGTTCTTTCAGGATGAGTTTAAACCCGACATGAGAGTGGATAACCTTTGAAAGATAGGGTCAATGGAGAAACATTTTCCAGTGATGACAGCAGGCGTCACCGCTCCCTTCTTGACACTGTAATCAAGGTGAATGGCAAGGTCTGGATGCCGAGAGCTTTTGGTTTAGCCTCAATTATAAATGGACTTCTACTGCTGTGGTTTTGTTGTCCCCTCGCCCAGCTCCTTCTTCAGGAGGTCCCTCCTAACGTCCGTCTCGAGAAGCTCCTCATGTTCAACCAGCTGATGCCAGTGACACATCTGTGAAATACCTCCCTTTAACCTGAGGTGTCCAACCAAATACCTGGAGCAATGGTGCTTGTCTTTAGGCATGAGAAATGCCATGTAGCCTACCACAGAAGATAAAAAGACTTGGTATTTCTTAACTCTCTTATCTTGGCATATTTGCACTTGGTACCTAGCTTAAAAAAAAAATGCTGTTTGGAGTTGAGAGAGAGCCTGAACGTGTGGATGAGAGTGACGGAAGGAACAAAAAAAATCTATTCTTTGAAAAAATAGTAAAATGTTATATTTTAATCCTGTGGAAGATGCTGTTATTGTCTCACTGCTGTTTCTGTTGCAATATCTGTCTGGTTCTTACTRAATACTCTGATAAGGTCATATGCTTTTTGGAGAAAGGTTTTCTCCCAGGTAGTCTCAATTTTCAGACAGGCAGTCTGGTACATGCTTTGTCTTTCTGTCTTTCCCTCCCTCCCACCTATACCAAATTCTACACTAGTTCTGAGAACAACAGGCAACGTTCGTGTAAAATTCCAACCAGTGGTAACCAAACCTGTGTTAAATTTCAGTAACATGAACGACCTTGCAGAAGTTGCTTTCCAAAGCCAAGTTTGTTTTGGAAAATAGATTTGTGAGTGCAGAAGGTTTTGAGGTGAGATGGGTTTTTTTTCTTCTTCTTTTCTCTACGTGCGAGAGGCACAAGGGAGACCCAGTACCGACCGTGGAGCAGGCTGAGTGGAGCCCCTGCCCAAGGCAGCTCTGACTCAGCGGGGACGGAGCCGGCAGGACAGGTGGGAACTCCAAGGCTGCCCCCAGGGAGTGTGAGTGACCAGGAACAGGCAGTTAGTGCAGCAGTTAGCTAGCTAGCTAGCTAGCTAGCTAGTTAGTGTGGCAGTTAGTGCAGCAGTTAGTTAGTGAGGCAGATGGTGCAGGCAGGGAGTCCCCTCGCAGGTGTGCAAAAGAATTCTGTCCACCGTCTCTTCCACCAGCGGGAGACCAGGTGAAGCCAAGGTTTCTACTCGGCACTTGCGCCAGGAAGACTGTGGTGACACAGACTGAACCGCCACAGAAGCATGCGGCAGTCCCGGACTCTAGCTGTGAGGAATGCTTGAGCTTCTCCTTGTCACAGGGGAGTGGCAAAAACACCGCCTGCCTTAGGTGTGAGCAGGTGGAGGACCGCCTTAGCCTGGTGGTGGAGCTGAAGGAGGAGGTGGAAAGGCTCAGGGCCATCAGGGAATGCAAAAGAGAAATAGACTGGTGGAGCTGCATTCTGCAGTCCTCCTAGGAAAGGCATCCAGAGAACTCTACGGTTCAATCTGGAAATCCAGCACCCTCCTGCCGTAGGGCAGAGGGAAGAGAATTAACAATATCCAGGGACGAACAGTGGAAACGGGTGCCTGTTCGCGGTGGCAGGACCACCCTTCCCCGGCCCACCTCACCCCCACTAGTGACCACATCCCAACARGTACGAGGCCTTGGAGGGTCTCGGTTAGGAAAGGTCAGGGAAACCTCCTTCCATTCGCCCTCTGGGGTATCATCATCAGTTTCGTATCATCAGCAAACTTGCTGGTTTTTGAACAGGATTGGACCGAGGAGTGATTACTGGGGGACATCACTAACTACAGGCCTCCAGCTAGACTCTGCGCCATTCATCACAATCCTCTGAGCTCTGATATTCAGCCAGTTCTCAATCCATCGCCCGCTGTACATTCATCTAACCCACGCTGCTGGAGCTCATCCAAGAAGATGCTCTGAAGGACAGTGTTAAAAGGCTTGCTGAAATCAAGATAGATGACATCCACCGCTCTCCCCTCAACTACGTAGAAAGCTATCAGGTTAGTTAAGGGGGCCTGCATGGTGTAACCATCACAGGAGGTTTCAAAGAGGATATTAGGGGTGCTGGGACCTATCCTAGGATCTCTTGGTCTGCTTTGAAATCTGAGAGGGTTCCATGAAGATCTCCAGTACTGGYCACTGGGCCCAATTTACTGCATCCCCAGGAATTCAGGTCCTATTGGAAGGTTTCAAGTGCCTTTTAAGTGAGCTCAAGAGCCCTCAATAGATTCACATTTTATGGGGCATGTGACCCTGGGGGCCCTGCAGCCATTTGTTGAGCCTCCCCAAGCCTCCATGCACATGTGGCCCTGGGGGCCATGCGACATCTTTGGGCACCCTTCCCGGGCCTCCGTGCGCAGCTGTGCTCTGGGGGTCCTGCGCCTTTCGTGCAGCCTCCCCAGGCCTCCATACACACATGGCACCAAGGGCCCTGCGGCCTTTCATGTTCCCTCTCTGGACCTCCGTGCACACTTGGCCCCAGGGACGGTGCGGCCTTTAGTGTGGCCTCCCGCCCCGAGCCTCCGCACGCATGTGGCCTCAGGGGCACTGCAGCCTTTTGTGCATCCTCCCCAGGCCTCCGTGCGCACATTTCCTGGGGTCCCTGCAGCCTTTTGTGTGGCCTCCCTGCACCTCTGAGTGCACATGACCCTGGGRGACGTGCTGCCTTTCATGCAGCCTCCCTGAGGCTCCATGCACAAATTTCTTGGGTGCCCTGCAGTCTTTTGTACGGGCTCCCTGGGCCTCTGTGTGCACGTGCCYTGGGGACCATATGGCCTCTCGTGTGCCCTCCTCAGGCCTCCAYGTGCATGTGGCCTCAGGGACCCTGTGGACTATCGTGTGGCCTCCCCAGGCCTCTGCTCACGTGCCCCCATCGGCCCTGCGGAGTTTTGTGTGGCCTCCCAGGGGCCTCCGTGCACATGTGACCTCAGGGGTCCTGCAGCCTTTCGTGCAGCCTCCCTGGGAATCCGTGCRCACATGGCACTGGAGGCCCTGTGACATTTCGTGCGGTCTTCCCCACCCTCCTTGCACACATGGCCTCACGGGCCCTGCAGCCCTTTGTGCAGCCTCCCCGGACCTCCATGCGCACGTGGCCCCGGAGGCCCTGCAGTCTTCCGTGTRGTCTCCCCGGGCCTCCGTGCTTTTGTGGCCCCAGGGAGCCAGTGGCCATTAGCGCGGCCTCCCCAGGCTTCATGCGCAGCTGGCCCTGGGGGCCCTGCGTCCTTTCGTGCGGCCTCCCCGGGCCTCTGTGCCCCTGTTGTCCCGAGGTCCCTATGTCCTTTCGTGCGGCCTTCCCAGGCCTCTGTGCACACGTGGCATCAGAGGCCCTGCAACATTTCGTGTAACCTCAATGGGACTGCACGTGCACGTTGCCCCGAGGGTCCTGTGGCCTTTTGTGCAGCCTCCCCTGGCCTCCGTGCGTATGTGGCCCCAGGGACTCTGCGGCCATTTGTGCGGCCTTCCCGGGCCTCTGCGCACCTCTGGCTCTGGGGGCCCTGTGACCTTTCGTGCGTCTTCCCCAGGCCTCCATGCACACGTGGCCCAAGGGGCCCTGCAGCCTTTCATGCGGCCTCAACRGGCCTGCGTGCGCAGCTGGCSCTCGGGACCCTGCGGCTTTTCRTCCGTCATTCCATGGCCTTCGTGCACATGTGGTCTCAGGGACCCTGCTCCATTTCGTGTGGCCTCCTTGGGCCTCCGTGTGCACAAAGTCAGGGGGCCCTGCAGCCTTTCATTCGGTATCCCTGGGCCCCCATGTACACCTGCCCCAGTCCTGGGAGCCCTGCGGCAGTTCGTGCGGCCTCCTTGGACCTCTGTGCGTATGTGGTCCCAGGTACCCAGTGGCCATTCATGCAGTCTCCCCGGACCTCTGTGCGTACATGGTCTTGGGGGCCGTGTGGCCTTTCGTGCGTCCTGCCTGGGCCTCCGTGCGCACGTGGTCCTGGGGACCCTGCGGCCTTTCGTGCGCCCTCCCCAGGCCTCCGTGCGCACGTCGCCCCAGGGGCCCTGCAGCTATTCATGCGGCCTCCCCCGGCCTCTGTGCGCACATGGCCCCGGGGTCCCTGCGACCTTTCGTGCGGCTTCCCCAGGCGTTTGTGCCCACGTGGCTCCAGGGGCCTTGCAGCCTTTTGTGCAAATTCCCTGGACCTCTGTGCGCATGTGGACTCAGAGGCCATGCAACATGTGTGGCCTCCCCGGGCCTCCGTGTGCACATGACCCTGTGGACCCTGCGGATGTTCGTGTGGCCACCCCTGCCCTCTGTGCCACCATTGCCCTGGGTCCCTGTGACCTGTCGTGCAGCCTCCCGGCGCCTCCGTCCACACATGGCCCCGGGGGCCCTGCAGCCCTTCATGTGGCCTCCCCAGGCCTCCGTGCATATGTGGCTCCGGGGGCACTGCGGCCTTTAGTGCGGCCTCCCTAGGCCTCCGTGTGCACATGACCTTCAGGGCCCTGCAGCCTTTCGTGTAGCCTTCTTGGGACTCCATGTGTATGTGGTCCCGGGGTCCCTGCGGCCTTCTGTGCGACCTCCCTTGACCTCTGTGCAAGTGTGACCCCAGGGAGCCAGTGGCCATTCGTGCAGTTTCCCCAGGCTTCCATGCGCACTTGGCTCTAGGGGCCCTGCGACCTTTCGTGCGGCCCCCCCACCCTCCTTGTGCATGTGGCCCCAGGAGCCTGCAGCCTTTCGTGCGGCCTCCCTGGGCCTCCGTAYGCAGCTGGCATCAGGGGCCTTGCAACATTTCATGCAATCTCAATGGGCCTGCGTGTACACGTGGCCCCAAGGGCCTTGTGGTCTTTCATGCGGCCTCTCTGAGCCTCTATGCACACGTGGCCTTGGGGGCCATGCGGCCTTTATTGAGGCCTCTGTGGGCTTCTGTGCGCACATGGCCTTAGGGGCCATGTGGCCTTAAGTGCGGCCTCCTCGGGCCTCCGTGTGTATGCGGCCCCAGGGACCCAGCCGCCATACGTGCGGTGACCCTGGGCCTCTGTGTGGACATGGCCCTGGGGGCACTGCTGCCGTTCATGCAGCCTCACTGGGCCTCCAGGCGTACATGGCCCCGGGGGCCCTTCARTCTTTAGTGTGGCC